TGATTGTTAAACAAATTCTCCATGTCAGCACCTTAGGAAGTGTTTAGAGAACAGTAAGGAGAATATGCATAATGACGTTAGGGTGTGAAGGTTTAAAATACTCCCCACTTTCCAAGAAATTTGCTTAAAATAAACTGAATAATTGCAAGCATCGACCAAACCTCTGTAAAACCAACTTGTACACTTTGGTCTTGGAAAATTGTGCATCTGTTACTCATCAACTAATTTTTTATTTTCATTAAACAACAACACCTAAGCAACATCTCCCAATATCTCCACTTAGATTATGTTTCACACTAAAAGATAATTACCAACCCAAAATGGAAATGGAAAATCTTGAAGTGTATTTAGACTCTTCTCAAGTAATCTTTGGTCCTTTTGCCAGTTTCGTTGTAAGAAGACAAACTCTGTGCACCACCATGAGAATCCCATTATTGGTAGAAACTTTAAGTAGCCCTTCATGTAGCACTTACAAGTCTGTGACAAAAAAAATCATTACCTCAATTTTGCAAAATTTTCCAATCAATATCATTACAGCCTAGCATTGATTTAAATAACCAAACTCAATTTTCTGGACTTTAACTGGTTTCATTAGCAATTATCACTTTATTTAGTTCAGTTATTTGTTTTTAGGATGACAGGGAGGGTAGCATTGCCCAGTGTTTAACAGATGGGACTCACAGCCCAGATTTTTTTTTCCTGTGATCTGGACCAATCACAGAGTGAAGAAAAGAAAAACCAATCTAGTGATCATTTTCGATACTCAATCAGAAATTTCTCTGTTTTCTGTGATTATGATGTATGACACACTCTGTAAAGTAGATTGAATCTAGATAAGGGCACACCCACTCACAGTAACGTTTAAGTCTGGACTCAAGCCAAGAGGCATCCAGCCATAGTTTATTCCACTTTCCACAGCATGAGGCAACTAGGGATATTACTTATTCCTCCTGCAGCTACAGCCCAGAATTTCATCATCCATCCAATGGCACCCAATTATGCTCCAGGTTATAGAGAGGCACTTTAACCCTTCAACTCCCAGAAGTGATTAACATGGAAATTCTCCTTATAATATCCATACATTATCCTGCAAACAGGTAATGAGAAAACTCCAACTTATCAGGTAGAGGTTGTTGTCTTGATCTAACACTAAATTCTCATAACTGATTTACAAGGAAATATGTAGCAACTAGAAGGGAGAATTAACAAGCAGATCTTGGGAGTTAAAGGGTTAAAAGTAAAGTGTTTTGCCCAAGAACAAGAAACAATGACCAGTCCAAGTCTTGAGCCTGAACCTCTCAACCTGGTGTCAATTAGGTCACCACAGCTTCCACACTCGCTCGCATTACAGACAGATATTTACCGCCAGCACTCCTACTCTCTCAGCAACTGTATATCCAATCAACCAATCAACATCACTGCGATGGTTTGCCAGGCAGATAGCACTCTCTTTTCCTAGTTTGTCAAAGTCTTCCTTTGTTCCATAAAGCTTGATATTCATACCTGACCACCAATCAGCAAGGAATGTCAACTCTGTAAATTAAAAACAAAAACAAAAAAACATATTACACTATTTGCAAGAATAAATTGCATATTACAGAAGAAATTATGATCCAGATTTCTCAATTATCTAGACTTTATCTTTGGTTCTAATTCTGTCGTGAATATTGCCAACAGTGTAGGTCTCTCTTTTCCTGATGTTGAGGACTGGCTTTGTGTTGAAAATGAGCACCCAACTTCGACACAGTTGTCCAACGAGTAAATTTTAGAGAGTGTTGTTGGACAATCTTATTTCAAAGATGAAAGAATCAGCAATGAGGAAGATGAAGGCCAAGATGAGAAAATTTTTTTAAACTCTGAAGCCATTGAAAGTTTTAAAAAGTGTTTATTACGGATGGAAAGACAGAACAATGCGGACACTATCCAGATTATACAGCTTTGAAGAACAATGGAACTCTCAATGCACACACAATGTTCTTCTTTGAGACAAACTGACTTCAACATTTAGGCTGATGTTAAAACATTTTTCATTAATTTAAATTTTTTAATACACACCTGTAGAGATATTCACAATGGATAGTGAAGGTATAGACCATATATTTTTCAAACCAATTTGTAAATGTTTTGTTTCATGATTAAATGATGCTTTCTTAACTTAATCAGTTTTTATCCCTCATTAATATTCATATTCTCGATTATCTGGACTTTTTCGTCAAGTCCCTATATATCTCCTAGGGAGATAAATAGTTATATATGACCACAGAGCCTGCAATTTATTACAATCAAACTTTGATTACCTAGACCTCCATCATCTGGATTTTTCAAATATCCAGACTTGTTTCTCTGATCCAATTTTATATGAATATTAATACATCACATTTGAGATTGGAAACAAATTTTTTTTATATCAAACAAAGAACATGGGATTAAACTCCCATTGGAACTGAATTTATTCCACTTTTCGAAGCTGTCAAATGCTTTTTTTAATGTTTTAATAAGCATTTAACATGGCAGGAAAAACGAAACAAACTGATTTTCACCATCATTTTCAGTTGCTGAAAAATGTTTTGGTCAGCTTTAATAACTTTTTGTAAACACTTTTGGCAAATGTTAGCAGTTAATGCATGATAATTTGAGATGTGCTTTAATTCTTCATAATATTGCTAAGTAATCTCTTTTGCGTGATGCATTTTATTTTTGGCTAATTAAACTTCATAGTTAGATTATCCTGACTCTGGACTATCCAATGTGGATATTTGAGGTTCAATTGTGACAAAAAATGGAAGCAACCTTTGAAAAGTGTTTGGTTTGAACTTTCATTGGTGCAAAATAAAATAAAAAAGACAGGAGAAGAATCAGAGGAAGGCATCTGCAGCTTGTCAGATCCTGTCTTTTTTGTTTACAAATTTTATTGTGAGTTATTATAAATCAAATGATAACTCCTATTTGTTCTTTTAGGAGTAGTGCTGTTTTCGTGCCCAACAGAGAGAGGATTCAAATTCGTTATACTGATTACATAAATGTCAATGATGTGTGACTTTTCCTATTAGTCACTTTTTTGAGAAATGCAGGGTTTTTATAGAGAAAAAAAGTTAAAATTTATAATCTGGCTAAAATATTGGTGGCACTTTCCAATTAAAACTGATGATTGTTACCAGCTATGAACAATTAAGATGGGATGTTGAGTTAATAACAACATAAATATAACTACACCCACACTCCAGACAATCTGGCTGGAAATTATGCAAATTAAATAACAACACAAAAAGGTTTGTTATAGCGAAAAAAAAAACCACATCAAAAAAACATCTCATGAGCCAGTAAAAAAAATTAGCCCTTCAAGTAAACAGCAAATACAGAATGTTTGGTGAGTTTAGTTTCCAATTATTTTTACAAAAACCAAATAATTTAATTTAATCAGCACAATTTGTGACCTTCCAGAAAAATCCAGTTTAATTCCATGAAAGTAGTGTTTTCCAAACAATATAGCTCTGGTTCATTGCCAAACAAAGTTTATGTTGGCAAGGATGGAAAAATTCCCAGAAGGTAAGATTACCAAATGAACAGTCAAAAACACAACTCACAAATGACCACTAATAAATGATACAAATTTAGGATCAATTTACATATCATTGCAAAAGTGCAAGATAAAATTAACAAGAATGCCTCTAACATTGATTTTGGGAGAAAAACGAATTAAATTCTACCTGAGAGATATTTCTTAGTTTTATTTGAGTGGTTCCACTAGCTGAAAGGTCACCACAACCACCTACTAGAGATAAAATTACCTTTATTAATAAAGGGTAAAAATGTTCTGGACTTTGATAATCAACCTCTTAGTACAGGGTGACCACTTAATATGGTGCCGGTTGATACAGTTTCGACTGTACACCTTTCTTTGACAAAATATGCGAGACACTGAAGATGTTAGTATAATTTTGTGATCTTAATTTTTGAAAAGGAGAAATTCAAACCTGAGTTTGGTAGATTATAGCAACAAAATGAAAATGGCAAGTTTGTAATTTTTTCCTCTCTATATTTGCAAGTAATACTTCAAATATATTTGAAGGCTTTGGTGCAAAAGGGCATGCACTCATATTTTCATTGTTTGCTGTTACAAGCTAATTTTTGTCAAACTAAAGTATTTTGACATAAAAAGCATTTTTCCTTCTCTGTCAAGGCTGATTTTAAAAAGGAACCACCTCACAAAAAAACAGAATTTCTGGATAAATGTTACATTCTAAATAATGAAGCACATATCATCCCTGAAAATACTGAAGGACCTGTTATGACAGGTTTGATCTGTTGTAAGTAGTTCCATGCAGTGCAATTTCTGGACTAAACACTAGATCCCAGTTAAATGCCAGCCTCATATCAACGATGGAGCAAATTTAAACCTCCCATTCAGAAATAAAACTGTGCAAGCATTTAATTGAGGCCCCAGGATTGGGTCAAGATCCCAGCCTTTATTTGCTGCTAAGCTAACAGGTAATTTCACTCAGAAAAGCACAGTTACTGATTCCATATGTGTGATTGTTTAATTGAAAGTAACAACACTTGCGAAGGGGTAAATGAGAGTTTGCTGGAACTGGATTCAATAAAAAATGTAGGCATTTTGTCCACCTAACCCTAAGTCTCAGATGATGGAGAGTAAAAAATCATCTAAAAAAATTGCACTTGATTGATAAACACCACACCCTAATTAAATACTTGCATCATACAAGCACTAGGCTCACCAGCCAAGTTGGAAATAAACACCTCAGGGATTTCACTGATAAATTATGGAAAATTATATTCCTTAATACTTACGGCACCAATGTAGGTAGACCAAATTCAAGTTGAGCCACCTAAACAAATCCTTTTTTATGAGCCACAGTGGTAACAAAAGAAGCTGAACACAGTTGATGATTACACCACTAGCTAAGAAGACAGTAACCAGCCACAACCATATCAGAGGAAATTTCTTTATACTGTGTTTAGGTGCCATCATACTTATAAACCAGTTAAAACTCCTTTCCCAGCTCTATCCTAAAAAAAAAAAAAAAAGATTTACAAAACTTGACAAGAACATTGTTTCATTCTCTCTCAGACCTTTAATCCTACAAACTCTAAGAGTGACCAGGAACTAATTTCTCCTGACAGCAACATTGTTGAATCATTCATTAAGATCATGAGAACAGAGGAAATGACGACCATGTTTGAGAAGTACAATGAAAGAACACTACTCTCTCACTTATTGGAAACCTGATCTAAATATTACGTTAGTTTTTTTTTCCACCTCTCTGGTTGGATACATGTTAGGTGTGAAAGATTCCATGCCACAGGCTCTACCTTCATGCATAAATTTCAGATTTGCAAACTTGTTGTGTTAGCTGTATTGCCTGCTACATTGTTGAGATCACTTGCCACATTTGTACACCCATCTGTGAGCAACTTGTGTCAGACAAGGCTGTTCACATTTATAGGCATGTCCTAAGTTATATTCAGCAGAATCTTTCCTGATTTTGGATACTGCTGCCTCAATTGTTTGAATTACGATAAAAGGCCTTAAATAACTAATTGGAGAGATCAACTCTAAATCAACAGTTAAAACAACAGGATTGATCCTTTCCTTTCAATTGTTTTTTGATTATATTGATTTTTTTGGACAGTTATCATAACTGTGGATAGTTTGTTTTGTTGTTCTCTTGCTTACTTTGATTTCTTATATTACCACTGCTCTTCTGTGCTTCTGTTGTATTTCATTCAAATTGTTAATGAATTGGTTTACTGCAATCTTTTAAAGTTAGGTGATTTCATGAAGTATTTGTGAAGTGGGAATTCCAATTGAACAACAAACATTTGCTACTGAAGATGACATGGAGACATCAAAACTTCTTTAGCAGACTAAAAATGTTGTCACTCTGTTCATTTTCCCACAGTGTTGATATTTTTAACTCGTCACAAAGACATCACTAATTTTTCAGCTTCCCCTTCACTAGGTGACCGCCAGTGGAAAGCATTTTAACTGTGGTTGGGTTAAAAAACCACAAAAGTCATATGTAATCGATGAAACGTGTCTACTTGCAAGGAAAAACAGGAAGTGTGTCTCACTTTCTCAAAGTGAACATTGTTCTACCATAATTCAGCCATGTAGAGATTTGAATTGTTTTGGCCAAAAAATTAATTACCATATGTCCCCTCCCATAGATTGAGTGCTCATACATATCAAAAATTGTCTTGGAAACAAACATTTTTGTACCAGATATGGAAACATGATCATCGGGCTCTCTTGCAGCCAAAATATTATTTAACAAAGGAATAGAGGTTTGTGCTAATGTCTATAATGTCTACCATAATTTCCTGTAAGGTGTTGCAGATATAATCATCTCACCCCTATAATGGACTTTTAAAATACACCTAAAAACCACTGAAGACAGATTTTTATTTTGCTGAGAACATCCCCTAGGGTGACTGTCTAAAATAAATCCTGAAATAAATTCAAGTCTCTGATCTATTTGACAATGTAATATATCTCTGTCAATTAAAGATGGCCCAGGAGGGAACCCTCAGGTAATTGTGGATGCGTCACATGGAAAGACATAAGTAAACTTTAATATAAATTGGCTAATCTTTCTACAAAGAGGAAAATCACGAGTCTAATCTGCTTAGCATTTTTACTCTTTTTGCAAGCATAAGACCTAAAGGGCAATTTCCCTCAAGTGAGATGTGGATGATAGTCATTAACCATGACCTCATAGAGAAAATATTCAACTGATCGTCACAAGACCGACGTAGGGCCAAAGAGCTTCGTACAACAGACAAACCAATTTTTTCAAAAATCTTTCACCTAAAAGTTTACTTCAAACTGTTGTTAAGAATATTGACGCCTTCAATTTTCCTGGTACAGCCGTTCAAATATATATGTATTCCAAATATATTTGTATTTACAATAGAAATCCTCTTGGCAAGTTCCGATTCAGGAAAGAGCTGGATAAAGTATCAGTTTTAAACTACCTTGTACGTAATGACGCCGACGACATATATTTTAAAACTTTGGGGTTCGTTCTATCGACATAAATACCTGATAACATGGTTGAGAAAGCTTAAGAGTCACTCAAGGCACTACAAGGCCGTTTTTTCCTCCGATGAGTCTTATAAGAAAAATATCTGTATTCATTTTAAACTTAAACTTTGGCCTCTATGATGTGCGCATGGAATAAACACGTGTTACACATTGTTGATGAACGGTTTTTCGAGCGATCGCTGGTAAATATTGCAAAAGTTTTTGAAACTGTTGACGTTAAAAGAAAACACGACCTTTGCACAAAACGAACTTGAAGAGAGGTGTCTAAAAACCACACACTAACCTTGGTTGACACAAGCTAAGAACAAATGAACAGACCGCCACTTCCTTCTCCTGCTTATATGACGGCATACGCAGTATGTCGCCTTCCGCTGACCTATCAAATGCGATGCCTTCCCTCCATTTTCCCAAGAGATGCACCAAAAGGAGACGTTTGTAATTAAGATCTGGCAGTTCCCGCGACACCAATTCGTTCCTTATGCATTTCGCCGTCTCGATTCCGACTTTAGGCCAACAACATCACATGCTAGAAAATAAGCCGTCACGCTGTCTTGCGCTGATCACGTGCGTTATTCAACTCGGTGACAAGTTTTATTAGATTTGAATCAGCTCTGATCATCGTTTTTGTTGTCTATTCCCCGTTTTTCTGTCCCATCTGATCGGAAAAAACATGAAGCAACTGATATATACACAATGATCCATTTCCTGTTCTTGAAACAACGGAAATTAATAGTCAATGTAACGAGTATCTATTACAATATTAAAAAATTATATCTGATAATTTTCAAGGATTTATTCTTGACCTGAAAGTTTGGCGAAATCGTCCCGATTAGGTCCTGATTTGGCTGCTGTACTCGAAAGGCTTCCTTTTAGTAAATCCTATTCGTTCCAAGTACATGGAAGCTGTAAAATCAAGGAACCAAATCGGTGGGTTAGGCCCCAAACCTTAAACTCGACGTGACCATGTGAATCAATGTGGTCAACCCCTTACTCTCAGTTGAAAAGGCCTCCTCATCGATTAACTGGACTTTGTCCGATTTAGATTGCGTGATCAAGATGGACTGATCGAAAAACAAACCTTTTTTTTTGTTGTTCTATTAATAGGGCTTGACGATCGAAGGTTACTCTGAACTTTGTAGTTGCAAGAGGAACGGCACTGAGGTGAAAACATTTATTCTTCCGGTGTAACGAAAACAAAGTTATGATTCAACCAGCCGAAAAAATGTAAGTATCAAAATTGTGACACTTACCAAAAACACAGAGTAGCTAATGAGGAAACAAAGATTTCAAAGCTGAAAGTAAGTTTTCAGAGCTTATTCTCCATAGTGATTTCATAATTCATCCTATCTAAAACTACCTCGGTTGGTTTTGTCTGAATTTTTTAGCAAAACAATGACGAAATACCTTGTAAACAATTCTAAAATAGGCCAGTAGGAGGAAAGTTGAATAATCAAACTGAGTTCAGTGATATCAAACATCCTAGGCTCCAGTTCAGATCGTTGTTTCAAAATGAATGAACACTGAATTGTTGGCATCGTTGTGGTTTTGGGTGCCTTTATTTTTTTTTTGTAACGAATTTTTCCTTCAAGTCCTGTTTTATCTCCATCGCCTCGAAACTGTCAATTCATCAATTCGTCCCGTCTCATCCCTGCGAACTATTTTCAGTTCCAAGATTGAACAATTCGTTCAATGATATTTCAGAGAAATTTGCTCATTTCTTCGTCGAGCGGACGAAGAAAAACTTTACGTAACAGTTCAATAGATATCCAGAAAAGGTGAATCTTTTTATCATTATCAATTTCTTTACTCACCGTACTTTCTTAACGGAGCTTTCCCAGAGCAACTTTGTGTAAGTGACTTTGTTTCGGTGAACACCCCGCAGAATATGTTTTGGTTGATGCGCCATTGAAGTGCAGTACTTCTTTTCTGTTCCAACAATTTTTTTTTTTTGAGGGGGGAGGGGTGAATAAGTGTTGAGGTTTGTCAGACATATTTTTAGTGTTAAGCTTTTTTTATTTGGCCCGCAAATTGGCGATTCCACTACTATAATTTGACGAAGAAAACCTGGCCGATCAGTCAAGGTAGTCAGTGACTAATCTTTTCTAATTACAATGGCACATTCGTGTTCCAATACTCTATTCTAAAGGGCTGTAAGTTTGTCTGTGGCATGCTGATGCACATACAGGAGGCATGTTGTTGAGCGCGTGGATGTCTCGACTATTTAGCAAAGGTGCGCATTTGTAAAATCACTTGCCAAAAATGAAAATCAACGCGTTTCTGATATTTTTGTTGCAGGCTAAACTACCTTTGCATAAGGCAGGAATTTGTCCACTTTTTTGCAACAACAAAAACTTTGCCGACGAAATCTATACGTAACTGGCTTGCAATGCTTTACGTAATATTTTGTTGCCAGAGGATTATTTGCTATAAATTTTGAGCCTTTGAAACAGTATCTAGGCGCTTAATTCCGGCATGTTGCACGTAGTACAAAGTGTTCTTTTCTTCCTCATCATCCTTCGGATGGGTACTGCAATTTGAATCTGCTGAGATCAGTTTATGGCCATCAAGATACAAATAGGTGAAGTGTTTACTTACTCCACTGACATGGCTTTCTTTCGAAAAGTCGAGTGTGATAAGTGAGTGAACTTCTTGAGCTTGTCCAAAGTTCACTCCTGTAATTTCATTATCCGATCAGCGGAAAATTGTTTGTGTTTTCTCCTCATTTTTTGCGCAAAAAAGGAAATAAATACATCAATAACAGAAAACCTTGAAAAAATGAGAATTTTTTAAAGAGAAGCCCCGCTGTCTTACCTTAACGCCCGCCCTACTGTTTCCAAGCGAGCGAACGACTGGGAACGAGACAGACAAAGCTACGTGCTCGGGTCGAAGTCCTTAGTGAAAACAATGGCGACTGCTGCGTGTCAAACTTTCATGTTCTTAGCCTAATCATAAGGAGTTTTCGGTGATAGCTATCAACTGACTCGATTGACATTTTCATCAGATATAAAAGAATAAACAGTTTGTGTATTAGCAGAAATTTGGACTGACCTTTAATGATACAATCGATGTTTCATTTGGGAAACCTCACGCACAGTTGTAAAAACCAGCTTTCAAGCTGATCAGCAATATATGATAATGGCTCGTTTTTCAGTTTTGTTTTTTCCTTTTTTTTTTTTCCTTTTGTTTTTTTGTTCTTTCAGTAAACTAGGCGTTTTTTTTCCTTCTCTGTCCTAAACTCACAATCGCAGTAGGGTGTGTTTCTTTTTCGGGGCGTCGGAAGGAACTTACCTGCTCTCATCATAATCATCAAGACTGAAACACTGATATTTTGTACTCTGTAAGTTTGTGCTTTTCATGCGAAGACAGGGAAGACAGACATTTTTCTATATTGGCTTCATTTCCTTGGAAACAGAAAGATACTCGGGCACTTTTCTTTCCACTCTATATTTAGTTGTGCAGGAGATATGAGATAGCATGGGCTGCCCTGAAGGCAAAGAAACTCTTATTTAGCCTGTGTTGCCCGATATCACATCAGTTTTTGAAGGAATTCTATTCAAACTTCAATGGTTAAAAAACATTTAAAGGGTGTTTCAACCTTATCATTTACAATGTTGCATAGAAAGTTCTACTGATCGAACGGTAACACAGTAACGCCTGGTCAATGTGAGTGAAATATTCAGGGTTGTAGTGGAAATTCAACAGTTTTAGATACCGAAATATTCCTATATTAAAGGTTTACTTTGAGTGCATGCCTTTCATTCATTTTAAAATCATGTGAGATTCATCCAAAACTTCGCTTAAAGACCCTTGAATCTTAACGCGCCAATCACTGGCCACTGGTTTATCAGCCTCTCACTGTTATCAGAGAATCAATTTCGTAATGGAGCTAAGGCTGGCTAAAAAAGACAGTCCGGCGTTGAAGTCTGTTCGTAACAACAGGTTGTCTGTAATAAGGAGTAAACGCCTTCGACTAAGACAAAAGAAGCCCGTTGGTGGTCGTATTATCGAGAGTTCACATCGAAATTGTACGCGAACAGTTCAAGGTACTGAAATATTTACTGTACTAGACTGAGTCGAATAATCTTAAAAATCGACGGAAGAGGGTATGTAGCGAATTTCCTGTTTTCAAACTGAAAAGTTTTTTTTCAATTGTACCATATCGCAAGTGCACCTAAGACTAAAGCTTTCAAGAATCCGTCAATCAAATTGTGATTCGTTATTGCCTTTGGAAATGAAATCAGTTCAAGTCAAACACTTGGCAGGTTTCACATAGCTGGAGTAATTGACGGTGCTGTTCGTCCTTGGTTTGAAACACTTTTATTGAAAAAGGACCACATATCACCTATTCTTTTCACCGTGTTGACCTCTCGGTACTGTTCGTGTCATCGGGAAAACTCGTTCTACTCGGAGACAGCCGTAATACCAGACAGTGGTAATATTACTTTGTTATTATAATTAACCTTATCATCGTGACATTTGTGTGATATCAAATTGAAAAACCTCTGCAAAGCGAGAACTCTTAATTGTCGGGTGTCGATCACACAGAACCTAAACCTAAACAACGACAAAAGCTACACTTTAAACCCACGAGAATAAGCTCAAAGATTCAACAAAGCTACAACACGCTGTGAACGTCTGCTAGTCCAAATAAGTCGTGCTAAAATGAAAATTTCGTCTTCCAAGAGGATAAATCCATCTTGAATCAGAGTTTATTTCAAAAGAAAAAAGCTAATATTTACGCCTTTTTATAGCCAATGGCAGCTTTCAAAAAACAAAAAAGAAAGATATGGTTTCTAATGCGTGACACAAACTCCTAACACGAGTTTCTAGAAAATGCAAGTTATTCTCAGACCAATTCATGCGCGCAACCGAATGGTCTCCCATGACGAACTGGTAATAGTTTACAATGAAAATATTTTCAAACGGTGTCTGTTTCTGCCCAACAGTGGAAATAGCTTCCAAGAGTCAATGTTTGCTTTTGAAGGCACGCAACGAAAGGAAAAAAAAATAATAATACTAAAACTTCAAGTTTTTTTTTCTTATCAAAATTGAGTCGCGTGGCACTGAGGCATGTTCAAGATTGGTTTTCTTTCCACTTTTGCCTGTAGGCAGTTTTCAACGGGTACCAGCTATTTTTAACATCTCCGAGTTCCTATTTTCATAGCCACTTTTCGTATCCCTTTTTTTTTTTATATAGACAGCTGTTGATACTTTGCTAAACACAGGAGCCCTGTATCACATGGATGTTACTTTATCGACCAAGTTTGATTGAGGCAGACATCTCCTCTAGATTGTTACGCGAAGGAGACACATTCAAAGCAATTGTAATATTTTTGATGGTTTGTTTGCGTCCAAGACCCGAGGAAGGTTAGTTAAAATACGTGACCGCGTCCTAATTGTTCTACCATGGGGGGGAACCAAGACAAAACAATTTTTTAACTCCTAGTTACAAAGAATAACCATCTTCTAGACAATATATTGACTTAATGAGTCCTACGTTTAGAGAATATATGAATAACATATGTTGCAAGAACCTCGGTTAATTATTTGGGTGCATTTCGAAAAGTAATTAAGAAGACTAGTTTGTTCTAAAACATTTCAGTGCTGTGAGCCAAAAGTGACTGAACAAATAAACCGTTAGATAACTGACTTGGTGAACGATGACAGTTCCCTTAATCTGTGGCAAACATTGATCGTTGCTCGATGTGCGAAACTGAAAAACAGATAAAGAAACAGAACCACTTTGAAACACTCAACAGACCGCGCGTTATACAAAGAACACAGAGAATTTTGCATGCAAATCGCCACTTTTCATGAATCATTCAAAGAGCTCGCAGACAATGGCTTTCGACAGTTTTCATGGTTCCTTGTTTCTGTCTTAAAGTTGCACCTGTTACTGTTCAGAAAAGTCAAAGTGCGATTTGAAAGAGATCCTAACAAGGGAAGGTGCAGCCCAAAGAGCTCCCGTGACATCCTTGCACTGCAAACGCAATTTGTGAAAAGCATTAAAAGCGGCCTTGATCTGTCGTGCTGAAAAATCCATTGTTACACCGCCTGTCAAGTGGACAAATAGCAAAAAGTAATTGTTCGTGTGCGACAAAACGCTGCCTGTACGCAAGAATTCACAATTACGGACCAAGTAGTCCGCCTTCTGTTTGAAATATTGGGCAAGTTATGGCGAAAGGAAGAACTACGAGGCGAAAATTTACCTTTTTGTTTGTTTAACTGGATTGAATTCAAAATTTGGTTCTTTATCGAACCAAATTCCATTCAGTTGTTGTTGTAGCAACGGCACGTGATCTACGGTACCCCCAACTGATCTTCTCAAATTGGCCAATGAGAGAATTTTCTCGAGTGCCCTCATTAGAATATCACTAAGACAAAACACGGCTCAGCGAACAAGGCGGAAAACCACAGTGCTCACATCTATCTCGCTAACATGTTATTATGGGCGTTAGACCCGACTTTTTCCTTGCTCGCTGAATTGAATGGCAGTGTTACCTGTTCAAACAAGTGCCTTCTCTTTAAAGAAAAGCGTAAAGGTAGGTCGTGTTGTTTTCAGGGGGGAGGGGATAGAGTGACAAGAAATGCAATCAGGTATAATAAGGGAATGCATCTTAAGGTAGGCCACGTTTTTATTGAAGTTTCCGATGAATAACAAATTAGGTATCAATTTGGCGAAACGATTTTTGTCGGGGTAATAATACGTGCTTTGGAGCAACTGCAATTCCAAAATTGGTGCTATCAATGTCTTATAATCTGTTCACACACAGGTAAAGAGCAAAGTTTATATTTAAAGACATTTTTTTTGTTGGCTTTCGTCGTCGTGTTTCTTGCATTCATATAAACGCTTAATAAATCACGGGTGTCTGAAAGACTTGGCATAAATTTACTAATCTACAATAAAGAGCACATAACACTTTTAGTGACTACTTTGTTAACAACAAGACATCGATTCCAACGAAGAGTCTTAATCGAAAGTTAAGCGTCTTATTCATAAGCAAAATCTAAATTTTTCAGAGGACTGATTTATACTGGCTAGTGAAAGTTGGCTAGCTGGCTATCGATTTAACAGTAAACGGTCTGGCGAATTCGTTTACCACACATCTCAGGCGGTCAAGCCAGAAAGATTCTGCGAGCATAAATGAATCACAGAACTCAATGTACACTCATGTAGGAGTAATTAGATCACTTTTCCGATTTTTCAGTCGATAGTTGAACATTATGATCTCTCCAGTTGCAATAACAGCGAGGATTAGGAGGCATCCACTTTGATACGCGCGTCTTTGAACAAGTTGATTCCATGTTTATTCGCCGCAAATATAGAAAGACAGCTAATGGCATGAAAGGCAAATTACCGCGGGTAAACACTGATTAGCAGAAACACCACCTCAGTAGTTCAAGACAAAAAGAACCGAAAGCGTAAAGGAATCCGACCAACCTGTATTCACACGAGTTTTCTTTGAGTGGATAATTTATTTCGGCTTATCAATACTGTTGATATTCGTTACAAGAATCTCACCTCATCTTTTTGCGTTTTGCGACTTGACTTTATTAAGAAGGTTTCTTCAAAACTACCGAAGTTCCGTACTCTTTTGCAATTTACACGTGTTTGGAGCCTAAAAGAAACCAGCGATGTTGACTCACGTCAGTTTAAAGTCCAATCTAAACCTTAATTCCGTGTCTCCGTGTAAAGCTCTGAGAAACAAAAGAACATTGATTTGTTTCGTCGAGACTGACAAAGGAACTGAAATAACTTGTGAATTGCACTTTTAGTTTCAAAACGGGTTTCAGGGCTATATTTGAGGCGCAGCTGACTCAAACCGCTTCTACGTCAAATGTCTTCCACGGGGATTAAACCAGAAAACTCGTACACGAAACGTGGTTAAAATGAACGTTTTTGAAGCCTACATGCATTGAATTGATATTGGATTACTGTAGTAATCAAGCTTGTTGTTGCATTTTCCTCAGAGGCTGATATCTTCCAACGAAAAGCAAATATACCAAAAGGAAGAAAGTGTTTGCAATTGTTACTTAAATTATTCAGTGCTGATTTTGGATAATGATACAGAGTCAAATATTAATCCCCTTCAAACAAGGAACTTTATGGTTCTATGCTCTATTTATATCGAAATAAGTTAAAAATAAGAACAGACATAACTTTGGAAATTGTCGATCAAATATATGAAAGTAGAAGTGTTTTTATCTTTACGTTTATTTTTAAAAAGTTGAAAACTCTGAGTTAACATCTGTTGAAGCGTTGTGAATGCTACATGGTCGCTACAGTAGCTGCACCTAAATAAACAAATCTATGAAAAAATATTGAAATTACCCTTGGAACATTTATTCGATCCAGTGATTGTTTTATTTAAAAGTCAGCCGAAATTTGAAATATTCTTGACTTCAACTTACCGGGAAATTCACAATAAAATATGCAGACTAGACCAGGTTAGTATATGTGTTATTTGAACAGCGGTGATGATTGTTAGTACCTCCTAAAAATGGAGTTATAAACTTTTTTTTATCATTTCCGCATAAACATCCCCAGATTTTTGCCAGGCACAAAGCATTCTTGCATTTCTGAATAATAGAAGGGAGGTTTCACCTGAGTCTTAAGTCTTGATATTAATCGAAGCTTAAAGAGTTTGAGTTTTGAAAATCAAAAGTTAAAATTTGAAAATGAAAAAAAACCAGCTGTAGTGTTCGGTAGCAGTCCAAAAAGTTGGGTTTCTACAGGAAAGAAAACACTGTGACAACAGATCTCTGTATGCATGGTTTTGAAATAGCAGGCAGAAACTAATCAAGTATCCATATCTTCATTTGTCGCGGTACGAAGATGATATCCTAAAAGCCTGTGAATAATAATGGAGTTTTAAACATCTCGAATTTTTTTCGAGATATGCTTTTGAGTTACAGTCCTCTTATAACAAATGAAAAATAGCAATTTGTGAAGAAATCCTCTAATACTGAATTATTTAGCCATGGACTTGCATCAATGACCAAATTTATTTTCGTTTTGATTATATTTATATATCTAACTTCCTAACTATCAAGAAATAGTCAATTTAGGTCCAACAAAGGAGGACAAAATGAAAACCGCTACAAAGATATAAGTTTTGAAATGAAGTTATTTTGATTTTTAGAGAGTGGCAAAATATGTTTTTGTTTCTTATCTTTGGCCTGGCCTAGGATGCAATTTGCCAAAAAAATAGGAAACATAACATCCTTTTACACAATAGTTGACACTGATTACTAATGAGTATTCTCCCTGTTTTCGTATTTTCTGTTTACTAATGTAAAAAGTGATGGTCATAATGGCAACACTTCAGGAATTAAGGTGTGACATTAGAACGAATCTTATCGCTAATATACTTTTGTACTTCTGAACGTCACAGTGAGTGGCATGACAGGAAAACTGCAATATCCTCTGCCTACCGTGCTTTTGTAATAGTTCACTAAAATTTTATTTTCAAAATATGCAAATTTTTTTAATTTAGGGAAATTGCAGAAACTCGAGAGACCTCGCCGAAAATTTGCAAACCAATAGTGACATAGTTTCCAAAGAAAAACTGCGAAATATGCAAAAAATCGACGCGAACAAAATTAGAGCAAGAGTTAAATTACCCCTTCAAAAAAATCTACAATTGTTACCGCGAAAAATATTAAGTTAATAAAGGTAATTGAGACGAAATTTCTTCAACAGTTGGCGCAACGGTTAACGCATTAAACTTATCTTAACCGTACAAAACGTATTCTCTTGTAATCCCATGATAACGGTGATGTTTAAAAACAGCATCTTTTAGAACTCACCGAAAAAGCCTGAGTGGAGTGCTTGTCACAGTTCCTCCGTCCGTTCCAGCAAAACTCTCAAAAATGGTTATCCAATTTGCAACCATTTCCTCACCCACGTTATCATTTAATAGAGTTCTGAGTTCACCGACTGATTATCTAAGATCGGTATTTCGTTTATCCCTATTGTAAGTTGACAGAGGAATAGCTAAATGGCAGTGTTAAGATTATTTTCCCAACTACTTGTTTTACGGCTTTGTTACTACACTTTTGGATACTGGGAGATCAAATTTTATGCTGATCACCATAGAAATTATCAAGGGTAATATATGCATCACTTTCTCTGTATTTCAGGCTGAAGCTCAGGACAACAACATGGCCAACAGTATAGGGGGAGAACAATGAACCGCACGGATACAATTAGTCAAGATGATAATTTAAGATCCAAGCACTCACATCTGGAGCATCATGGAGACGTCTCAAACATTTCAGGAAGGAGAAACGGGCCACACACCGATGGTTCATCATCCAGCCATCTTTCTACATCCCACGAACCAGTTTTAAAACCTCAAGGAAGAGATGGCACGAGGTGTCAAAGCAGAGAAGTTCTTCTAAATCTCCTCCAACCACCCGGATTAAAAGTGATGCATGTCCAGCAGGGTAATTGTACTTCATCATATCAGGATAGCGACAAGATATTTTTTAAACCCGATTTGTATGGCTCGTATTGTGTGCGATGTTCTAACATTAATCAGACTTCACGTAGCCCTATTGACAGACGCCGAAAAATGATTCGAGAATGGAATCAGAGAGCCTGGTACAATACTTCCATGAACTTAGACACCAAAGCTCAGGAGCAGAACACATCTATCAACAGGGACACGAGAGAAGACCACTCTCACAGTCATGAAATTGCTATGAGTTTTCCATGTCCTGGAGAACACCTTTCACGAACGACCACAACCAAGAAGAACTCCCTCTCCGCAACAGTTAACTATCAAGAACGCGAGAAAAGGAAACGACTTCTTCATCAAGATGAACTGCCATTGCACAAGGATCTGTGCCAAAATCTTTCAGGCTATCATCAACAACATGCCAGACAGACTTGCTTCAGGAATGACAGTTATACCAACGATCCTAAGGCTCCTTTACACAAAGGTGGGGATATTGAAGATAACATCACCATACGAGTCGACAGAAACTTAAATAAGAAAGATGATCCGAAACGTATTCGAGGATCCAACTGGCATCTTGAAAGTCGACATTCTTTGAAGAGTAAACATCCGATTTCTGAGCAAAAAGTTGTCCATGATCAACCAGAGAAGGGAGTCACAGGTTCCAGCAGCTGTACTGCTGTTGCTCAAACTTCAACTGAAAATGGAAATGATGCGTTTGGGGCAGTTTACGAGAAAACTCATACACGTCCACCCTCGACATCTCAAGATGACAGATTGAACCAAAATTTATCTCCACTGAATAACTATCGTCATGAGAAGTTTCGTACCCGGAACAAATTGGGGTCATCACCCGTAAAATCGCCTAATGGACCAGAACATCTCAATGAGGTGAGTAACTTTGGCTTATGAAGATAAAAATGCAACTGAAATTAGGTTTAAACATTGGGTCTTTGATGTTAATATTCGTTTGCAGTTGTTTGTTTTCTTACAAGGCCTCATAAAAGATTTGACAACCTTGCCGCGTCTATTTTCATTTAAGATTGCATCGTTTTAATTCATTCTTTTTTCCCTCTTTAAGGAAAAGGGATTCGAGAAACCCTCGGAATATGACAATCAAGCTCTTCACAGTAAGTGTCATACCTAGAAATGTTTTCTCCCATATAAACTTTTGTCCTTTTGCGAGAAAAAGAGCACACTTGAGTTGGATGAAATCTCTAACCGTTTGTAAAAGTTAAACAAGAAATTATACTCTTTTAGCTATTTCTGTAGCACTTTCAAACGTTTAATTTATATAAGGATAGATTCAGGCAAAACCGGCTGAGAAAAACCTTGTGTATTAATTGTAGGTTCCAGCCTATTATAATTTCAAACAAGTAAATATGTTTGCTCAAAGTGCTATAATATGACAACGGGTTTTTCGCAGCGAAATGAAAATTTCAGTTTCATCATTCATTGGCAATACGATTACGGTGGATTTTATGACTAGTAGCTAGAAATTTTGGTACAGCGTATATACCAACACTTCCTGGTTCTTACCCTACTTATGAAGTAACTGTTGCATGTTAGGAAAATGTTTTCAGCTAAACAGGGTGACGCTTTATCTCCACGAAGCGCACTTTTACCTATCTATCATCATACAAATATAATTTTCCATCAAGATCAAGAATGTCAGAAAAATGTTGCGATAAATTCGATTTGCGTGTGTGTGTTTGTTTGTATGTGGCCTTGGGTAATAAGAAAAGGGAACAAAGTTTCAGTTGTTATAACATTGCACAATTCAACCCTTTCTGTCGTATCCCATAAATATCCTCCTTCCTTTTGACATTTGTCGTTAAATTGAAAACATCCTCTAAGAAGTCTGCCCTTTACCCTTATCACCTGTCTACTTTACTATGCATGGATGACAAAGGGGTAAAGTCACCAGAAATTAGATTTGCTGGCTCATATTTTTGCAATTGAGATGGGTATTTGAGGCAAAATTGGAATTAGACCATGGTAATGTTAAGATGAAATAATTCATTGTTCTGAGTATTTTTTGTAAATATAAGCTTATAGAAATTTCCAGACTGCTGAGTCATGCTGACTTGCATACCATAGAACTTTCCAGAACATTTCATCAAGTCACGCATTCATTAGGTAATACTACTGAGACAGTTCTCATGTAAGCTTCCAGAACACTTTGTGAATATATATGAAGACTCTCTTATGTAGTAGTAGAAGTAGTTGTTGTTGTCGGAGCGACGACTGTTTTGAAAGCCATACCGAGAGAGAGTTACCGCGGAAGATTGCTCACTTCAAGGAACTTTGGAGACAGCAGTGAGATTGTGTCAGTGGTTAGCTAGGATATAGACTGTGGTGTGCTTAGTTAAGTCTATTAACGATAAGTATTGTACTGCTTTTAGCAGTCGCTTCCTTGTTAAGAACATTACTCGCCGTTTTATAAAGTGGTTGAGTTTTTGGGATTGTAGTGTTTTCTGTCGGTTAGATTATACAGTAACATCTACAAATGAGATCTGAACAAACTTAGAAAAACCTTCAGTAAACTAGCCATTTGAAGACATTGTATACTTCTTACCTTGCAGATTCTTCACATGAAAATTCTCAAGAGAGTGGAAGCCAAAGTGACGAATGCACTCCAGTAATTGTCCAGTGTTACAGTCTCTCTGTTTTACCTCCAGCCTTGCAGTCTACAACGACGGAAGATCCCCAATTCATGGAAGTGCAAAATGCTGACCTAAGAACCAACATTGGTAATGAGGATGGGAAGGAAGTACCTGGTCCTTTTCGCTGTTCTTACCACCGAAATTCTCCTGAGAAACACGAATCCATTTGCTGTGGCTTGGAAAGTCACAAAGATTTTCCATACAGTCCACCGGTCTACTGCCCAAGAAGTAGCACAGAATCACACCATGGTCGACAAGATTTAATAGTAAAAAAACCAAAGCGTCCTGTAGACCAATTACCAACCTCTGAGCCAGTTGACCTTGAAGAACAGAATTTACCTGGCAGAGAAATTTCATCCCCACACCCTCAAACAAAATGCACCTGGCATCCTAATCAGCAAACATTCAAAAGCGGGCGCAAGAGACGACAAGACCATGGCCCTTGGTTGGAGCCACAGGTTAAAGCTTCACCCGGTGTTTCCGATCAAGAAACTTCGCGTTTTCCAAATGATACCCAAGTGACTCGATCCTCCGTGCACGATGGTCAGGAGTCAAAAGAGACGTCTCCCAACTGGTATACCAAGCACGTACAACATGGGGGTAGTCGTGCTCTTGAAATTCACGACTATTACGAAGAGAGACGGATTCTAGTCGAGAAGGTTTGCCAACATACTCGTGGATCAGAAGAAGATATCAAATGCAACCAGGACTCGACCAGCACGTATGAATGTTCAGGACAATTTTGCCAGACTGACCATTACCAAGCAAGTTCCTCAGGGACTGAAGTACGCCATAAACCAGTTTGCGACGAGAGTACCTTCCAACCTTGTTCTCATCAACGGGAAAATGCTGTTGGGAGTAGGAAAAGGAAGAGCCGACAACCACGTCCTCAGAGATTAAGAACTGATGATCCACATCTAGCAAAGGAAACCTATCGGCATCCAAATTCACAGCTGGAGACTCGCCACAAGGAATTTTCCTGCCGTGAAAACGTTTATCAGGAAAGGTTCTCATACCAGCCCGAGGGCGATGCATCAGTGTCTAAAGACAGATGTGAAAAAAGAACAGAAATTTCCAGAGTTTATGGTAATGGTAGAAAGATTTTCTCCCAAGAAGACACTGGTCTTGGTCAACGTCACTCTCCTACAAGACACGATTATGTGTTCCAAAGAAACTCACCAACACAAGTATTATGCAGCAAAGAATTCGCTCTGAGAAAGTATCCACCAAAGGGTACCTCATTTCCTGAAAGACGGAACAGCGACCCGTCCAGCGAAAATTACCCGCAGTTCGTTGAGTTTCCACGCCATCCGCATGTCATTTCACCTCGTGAACTGGAAGCTAGGCACAAACAGACCCAGTTCATTCCATATCCAACAAATTCACATGGCCAATCAAAGTCGCCGAACAAGCCCTTTATACATTCAAATGCCACAAGAAGTTCTTTCAACAGTGGCTGCAATGGCGTTACACCACAACACTGGCACGGCCCCATATGGATGATTGGTCCAGTAGGTAACCTTGGACGTTTTGAGGAAATTGGTTCTAGTTATGACAGAGTGTCTTTCGGCCAATGTGATCCGTCAAGGGGCAGCGTTCCCAGCGCTGCAGATTCTTCGTGGAGTACTCCAGCTACAAATGCACATGGTGAGCTCCACGGTTACCATTTTGATCATCGCGGAATTACAGCAAAGGGTAAAGCGCCAAACAAACCTTCAGAAACTCAACCATCATCCCCAGGAGGCAAGGGATGTGATTCCAGTAACCCCGTAGAAGACACAGTTCAACCGGCCTATAACAAATCATTTACTTCCGTTGAAGCCACCGTCACTACGGAGGCAGAAAGCGAAAAGACACAACAGCGTAATGGGTCTTTTTCAGAAGATCACACCTTCCTCATTCACACGCAGGAAGTGCAGACCGATTACACTGCACCTACCACGAAAGAGAAAAGGTTTGTTTGCCGATACTGTAGCAAGAAATTTGCGCATTTTTCCACTCTCCAAAATCACCTCCGCACACACACAGGTGATAAACCTTTTCAGTGCAATTTCTGTGGTCGCAGATTTGCCCAGTCAGGAGTCCTAAAGGCGCACCTACGAACGCATACTGGCGATAAACCGTTCGCCTGCATGTACTGTGGAAAAGTGTTTGCGCAAAGCACGACGCTAACAAACCACTTGAGAACGCACACAGGCCACAAGCCCTACATTTGTAATTATTGTGGCAAATCATTCTCTCAGCCTTCCACGCTCAGGAAGCATGAACTTTCTCACACAAAAGAACGGCCGTATCCGTGTAAATTCTGTGGAAAGGCTTTTGCCCAGCAATCGACGTTGACCAACCATATGCGTTCTCACACTGGACAGCGGCCGTACAAGTGTCACTTTTGCGACAAGAGCTTTGCTCAGTTGAGTACACTGGACCGTCACTTGCGCCTCCACTCAAGTGTGAGTCTCAAGCCACATCAATGCCAATACTGCAGTAAGAGTTTTAGTTATATTTCCAATCTGGCCTCTCATATGCGGAATCACGAACAGGAGTTAGAGTCTTGTAAATGAAAGGGTCACCCCTCCATTCCAAAGCCCTCGCTTGGATGGCTTTCCTTCCAGCAGCGGTTTTCCATAGTAGCCTCCTAGTACAATATCTAAAAAGACTGTGGTGAGCAAAATAAGCTATTTCTTATAATAATCAAATCCTGAACCTCTCGAGAGTTCTCTCATATGAGACACCCTTGTTCTTTAAGCCTCATCTGTATAGTATGATGATATCAACAGTGCGTTGCCTTAGTTTTAGGTACCTTATTTAATCCTCCTTCAATCTTGAGACTGGAATCTTTAGTTAAACCTCAACAGGACAATCTTATTGTCAATATTAAAGAACTTAGTTTTGTAATAGCTGACAAATTAGTCTTCAGAGTCCCCCTCTATTACCAATCATGTAGATTAACTTTTTGCTCCCAGTAGTTCTGTAAGAACGATGATTGACAGGTCTTATGTCCACTTTGTAGACTTCTTTTTGGGTCTTTTTCTTATACAAAAGGCCTATTGATGCCCGGAAAAAATTGCTTCATTGGAAATGTCTTATAAGATCTACGCCAAGGCTTTCTTTGTTGACGAGATTTGCTACGAGACAATTTGAAATTATCGGACGATAAGATGCAAAAAATCAACCTGGATTACTCAACATTAATCTTTTTTATCTTTTTTTATTCAACGAGGAACTTGTTTAAATTGTGCTGCGAATCTGTTTTCAGGATACCATTGTTCATCAACTGAAAAATTAATATTACATTGTCAAATATTGTTTCGAAACCTATTTAATTTGCTATGGTCAATTTTGCTGATACCCCGAAAAAAATATCGACTTCGGATGAAAATGTTTTAAGGTTCCTAATTTGCAAGCAGAGAAAATATGTAGAGTGACATATCCTTTATCATTTAACAGTTCATAGGAAGAAAATATTTTTTTTAGTGTTCGTTAACTAATGAACACTTCAGATATTTAATATACTGGGCAACAAAGCAAAGAATTATGTTATCTGCGCAACAAGATGGTTTCAAAATATTGTACAGTTTCTGTTTTGCTGACATATTTCTGCAGCAGTAATAATACTAAGTTGATAACGAGAATATCCGATAGGTATTCGAAGTTAATTGCACAAACTACAAATAGAGCAAACATTGAGGAATATGCGTTTGTAAAGTCGAGTTAATGACACAATCCTTGCCGCAGCATTTTTGAAGGACGGCATTTTTTTTTAACTTCGGTACAATAATGGTCATGATCTTTATAATTAACCTAAGGTTATCAAAGATTTGTTTAGAGAAGTTAAATCACGTCGAGATCAAGATGTGCTATGCTTACGGGATTGACAAAATTAATGAGGTTCACCCTTCAACATTAGGTGTCCTCTCTGAAAAAAAATTATGCTGAAAGACGCCTCATTAAGCAATATATGAAATAAGCGAAAATCCAATCGCATATGATTTACCTGGTGAAGAACTGCTGAGAGTTGCGACATTCAATCCTGAGAAAAATCGAAAGGATATAAATATGAAGAATCAAGTATAACAAGTCAGACTTGTTACACTTTGAAACAAGTTTATTTAAATTAAACAGTCTCGATTTGGACTATAAACTAAATTTGCTAACAGATGTTTAGAATAACAAAGATTTAGAGGACCTTTTATTTTAGATATTAAGAATAGTATATTAGAGAGGCATTTTTCTTTGTATTTTCGTTTTAAAAAGTATGTATAGCTGTTGATGGCTTTTTATCTCTTTATATGAATAATGAAGGTATTTAATATAGTAAGCTTGGGCCCAGATTACTTTGTTTCCCTTTTGATTAGGTACATGATCGTGTTGTTTTGCAACATGCGAAGACGAAATAAAATGTAAATGCATGGCCGATCTTGCGTTGTTAAATCACAGCACGAGAAAGGGGCCCACAGAGAAAAAAAATAGAATGAAGGGAAGGAAAAGAAGACGGAGGGAGTTGCAAAAGGGTCACGAATTTATTTAAAAAATTACCGAAGGGATAATGAAGCTTCTAAGGGAATCCACTCATATTCTGGGTCCGATTAAAACCAATTCAACCAAGGGCGTGGCTAACGAGGGGAGACTAAGGGTGCGCTAGTGATCCCCTATTTCTTCACCTGAAATAGTAATAAGTTGTTGTGCTCAAACAACCTGGCATTCTCCCAAATAGATAATACGCCAATGAAGCCCCCTTCCCGTCCCCCATCTCCTCTCCCCCTCCCCTCCTCTTCCACCATCCTCTCTCCCCCCCTCCACACGAGCTGGGGGATCCTGCTTATGCCGCTTCAACCGTTAAGTTCCGAAAGCAATGACTCCCCTTCAAGAAAAAACGGTAAAAAGGCTGCAAATTTCAAGATAACAATTCTTGCGAGCCCATCAATTGAGACAAGCGCGTATCCGTCGCCCGTCGCCCGTTCCCTGTTCTCCGTTCCTCGTTTCCCGTTTCCCGTCCCTCGTTCCTTGTACTTCACTCCCTGCTCTTCGTTCCCTATTCCTATTTCCTGTTCCTTGTTTCTCGTTCTTGGTTTCCTCTCCTCAATTTCTCGTTACCCGCTCTTCGCTCCCCATTCCTATTTCTTCCGTTCCCTGTTCCTGGTTGTAGTGACGTCTGCTGGAAAACCATCGTAACATACTGATGGTTTAAAAGGATTATCGACAAACAAACAAAATATGACGAAAACTGGTTAAAACTAAAAGTGCCGTTTCGAAGAGATAGAGAGAAGGCTTAATGAATTGCGTGAGAACCGAAGAAACTTGTAATACCAGACCAGACAGATCGGAAAATCTTCTCTGGTTTTTTAAAGTGTTTTTCCACTTAAAAGTAACAAAAGAACACTCCAGCCGCCGGCACTGTTATTGTTTAACATTATAGCGATTCCGCACTAAGCAATAAAATTGAAGCAAGCCGACAAAAATATTATGATTTGACGAGACCATTACTTGCATGTCAAAGTTCCTCCATCTACGTTGATTCGGCTTTTCAATTATGTTTTCTAGGCTGCGCGTGTTGTCCACATTCTCAATGAAAGCGCAATAAACTAAGTAACTAGTGTCGCCCATCACCATGAGCAAAATTATTTCATTTTGGTCACGAATTGTAGGCGGTGAACTAAGCAACAAATTTGAGGAAAAAAATTAACTACTGTGATCGAAACTTGACGTGTGAATTGGAAAATTAAAAGTACCGACGCAAAATTGAAAATCTTCTTAATTTGTTGTTTGTCTAATCCAAAAAAACCTCACTACTCCCATTTAAGTGCCGCTTTACATGTATGTCTGTCATTTTCTGTCAAACTTATGCTAGAGGTGAATAGAAAATAATTATGCAAATAAAGCTTTCTGTCATTTTAAAGCAACATCCAGTTGAAGTCTCTGCCTTGTCATAATGGAAGATTGCTGTCTATTACAATAATTCAAATTCGCCCAAATGACTCTCATTTTCGACTATCTCCTAAGAGCAATACCGTGAATTGAGCACGTAGCTTTGTCATCGTATATAAGGCTCAAAATGGGTTGCACGAACTCACGCAGAATTGGAAATACACTGATTCTTCATCCGCAGTTCAAATCCATTGAGAACACTGTGATTCCTTTAACAGATGAACAAATAAAAATCCTACGAGAAACAAGGGAAATAATCGAGCCGACCAAGAAAGAAATTGGAGTGAATGTCTACATACGGTATGGATTTGATTTATGCCGCCGCTATTTTTAGGTGATTTTGCTGACATATTTCTGCAGCAGTAATAATACTAAGTTGATTAAGTCTATTTTACCCAATAGATATTTCATTTTTCATTTCATTTTGTTCAGTGTCTTCTTCTTTTAAGGAAATCTGTTTTTTTCATGCATCAGCCTAAGTTCTCCATAGTGATCATAAACAACATATATTGGGGAGCTATATCTGCCACTATTATATCCCGAAACTCAAGGAGACACCGGATCAAGACAGCTCTAACACAAAATATACTGACCTTCCGTGGCAAGGAAGGGGTTTCCTCGCCTTATATTACAAGGAATTTAAATTTCAAGTCAAATTGTCAAAATCAATGGCAATAACCAACGTAATAACATCACCTTATCGCTAATTGTTTGTCTTCATCGTCGTCGTGTTTTTTTTTCTGTTTTCGTGTGAAGCCCTTCACAATTTCGCATACAGAGAATGCCAAAATGCTGTCATGCCTACTTAGGATTGTTCATTCGTTTGTTTCTGAAGTTTTTTTTTCCTTTTTCAATATCTTTGATTTTCCTCGTTAATTAATAAATTTGCCATTCGTTATGTTCCTGCATAACGTACCAAAAACGTAAATTTGAAGACATAGATGACAGTGCGTCGTAGTATAAATTGTAAAGTTTCTCATTATCCATATTTATTAGGGAGAAACTGAGAGTATTCTGCGACTTTTAAAAAATCTGATTATTCCATTACTCGACTGTTTATAATCGTAATGATATTTCACGCACGTAAGATTGTTTACGCTGCAATTTACTTTTGTCAGATCAGGTAGTAAAATAAATATTTATTAACATGTTTAGATCCATGTCACTATATCACTAAGAAATGTCTCACTAAAATCCCCAAAAATAAAATAAACAAATCATTTATCTCAGCGAGCAATGGCAATAGCGACAAATACAAACGATTAGAAACTTGAATCCCGAATTAAGAGCTCATCCACCCAACTGCATTTCCACGACTTACATTTAAAATTGTCAAATACTTGTCAACAAAACTTGGTAGTTCGTGCCTGTTACGACCTGACACCAAGTTTCTTCTCAGCCAGTTGCTCGTTGACGAGTTATATTATACAAAAGAATAATTGATGGATATGCTGCCCAAGTTTGCTTACAAATTCTGAAAGGTGTATGATCGATTCTTCGACGGAACGAAGCCCGGGTTGCCTGGCGCCATACCAGCTACGAAATATTTTTCTCAAATATCTGATAATTATTTCTGTTATAGGAATTTACAAAAATGGCATCATCTTTTAAAATTTACAAGGGCGTCTGTATAACAGACTTAACTGACCCATGAAAAGCATGTAAAAGTTTTCTCTCTCCACTCTCTTGAACCTAATATCAGTAAATTAAATTAGTCGTATGTATGCACTAAACCATTCAAATAGTGAAGAGTTTGGCAGTAAATGTGCGATTACTTCGGTTTTGGGATAAACCTTATTTGGAATCAGTTCGAGGGTTGTCCAGCATCAGCAATTACGCTTTAAATAGAACAGTGATTGGTTTGCGAAAAGGAAGAGAGATGGAGTGTTTTTCGGTCGCGTTTAAGATATTTTTTCAATAATGAAATCTTATTTTGTACTCCACTTGTTACATTGAATTGACCGTGGAAGCCTGGTTACGGTTACGAGGCTAGACTTAGGCTATTTCTGTTCAGGTTTAAAAAGTGAATACTGGTCTTAAATCTGTACCTTCCTTAAGACTAAGACGCTCCGGGTAGGCCTGGGCTTAAAACCGTGGTCGGTTTCAATCAAAAATCGCCGTCAAAACTCTAAAGCATATGTATGGGTGCGAGTTTTTTATATGTCAGACCTTATTATGAGAATATGTGGGCACGCAAACATGCGTCTAATACACATTGAGATCTATGACCTTTTTTTCATTTTTGTTTCTGTCAGATTCCTGAAGATGAATCCTGATATAAAATCGCGCTTCACTGAATTCAAGGAAATCTCAATTGACGAAATAAATAAAAGCAATGGTCACCCTAGAAGATTGATGGCTGCCATCGAAAACTCAATTGTTTCCCTCGATGACCCCGAGACTTTCGCTGGTTACGTGTTGGAGTTAGGAAGGAGGCATATCAGGCTACGCTCCAAACCGACGAAGTCTCATGTAAGATCCAAATGGAAACTTTCCATGTGAACTTTAAATTGGAGTCGAATAGGTGCTCATGACGTGATAATCAGATGTCTTAGTTTGAACAGGAGTTGTTTTATCAACCTCGCATCTAGGGTCCCTCTCACGGCCCCTCGGGCGCGGGAAAAAGAGAGATCCTGGTAATAGAGATATTGCTGTATCAGGACCTAAAGAAAGGAAGGCTGATTGCGAAACAGACTCTAGTTCGAGAGTCAAACATGACTAATTCTCATAGATACACAAACAAAAAGTAAATTTGTTCCCTCTTGATACTTTTTTAACGACGCTAGCTTCTGTTTAATCTATTCATCCTGTTCTGTTAAGTTCATAGATTTAAGGAAAGCGTTCATTGGTAGCATTAAAGAACCTCTCACCACCAATTGGAGACCAGAGGTAGAGGAGAGCTGGGTACTACTGTTCGACTTTATGACTGCCGTTATGATGAAAGGACTCAGTTCCACGTCCTAAAACGCATGCGTAAAAAAAGCTGCAAATTTGCAGCCAACAATCACGGACTCCTATTTATCGGCCATCGAGCGAGTAGCAGGGGCTACAAACACAATTATCTGACGCATTTTTATCTATTCGTTTAGAGCCAAACTTCTGAAAAACCAAGATCACTGTAAAATGGCACAGTTTATTGTAATATTTTTAATTAAGCGCACGGGGAAAGCAATTCTTTGTTTTAAAGGAACGAGACTAAAAAGACTAAGATGATAAGCAGATTGACCACAGAAAATTTTGAGAAATTAACAATTTTATTTGAAATCCTCCCAACAATTAGGAGATAATGCGTTTAACGGCATTTTAATTCAATACAACAGGAGCGTAGCTGATTTGTTGAATACAAGCACACCTGGACTAATTAAGCGCAATTGGGATGACGTCGAATAACCAATCTCCCACCCCACCCCGTTCCGACTCAACAACAAACAACACCTATAGGGTAGCGGAAAGTCTAGGGTAAACATGGCTTGTGTATGATCACGTCCTTCACGATCAGCACCTTTATCATTATCGACCTAGAGAACTCAGAGTCAAGTTTAATATAACGGCCATCATGTATATAAATCAGACGATCATATTGAATAGAGCGTTCACTTGAGTGACAAGGCGGTCAAACCTCTAGAATGCAAAAGGAGATAAATTTCGGCTGGCCTCGCGCCAATTTCCCCCCCCCCCCCCCCCCAAAAAAAAAAAAAAATTTCCGAGGAAAACGTAAGAAACAGCCGCTATCATGCAAAATATAGGGGGGGAAGAAAGAGCGTTTATAGAAATCTTTGAGAGGGAGCAAAAGTAAAGAAGAGTTTATTTGATTACAGGTATCCTGTTGCATGTTGATCTACCATTCCGATTTGAGGTTTATCAGAAAAGTTATACGCTTTTGAAACACCGTGACTGACTGGCTTGCATAATTGTTTGTACCTCGTGTTAGACAACTTGGTTCTGACAACCTGAAGGCACGCCACCTAACCACTACAATGTTCCCACATGCGCACACGTTTGATCGCTGTGTCCGCGTGCGTATGTATGTATAGGTCAGCCACGCCCCTGAATAAATACAGTCATTGAGCCATCGAGCTGGCACTCATCGAAAAACATTGACACCAAAAAAATTACAAGTAACGACTATTGAAAATATTTAGTTGACCTCAACTCATCCCTTCTTGGTTGACGTTAACAGTTTTATACTCTGCTTGTATACTTGAATCATTCAGAAATAGTGCCAAATAAATAAAAACCAAGGAAGGTATTTACAAAAATTTTTCACTTGTTTGTTTCTTCTCCAATAAGATGTCTCCCTAAGAAGGACTTTATTCTACGCTTGGTCCATTAAGTCTAACAGTTCGTCACCTTTTTCACCTAAGCAAGTAAGAACACAGATAAGCGTTGCTTCAAATAGTTTCAGGCCTCAAAACTTTTTGCATAAAATTCCTTAATGAAACATTAACGCCAGTAAATTGTTCAACTAAGGCAATGAAGGCTAATTTTTTTAAAAATAACTATACCTTAAGTTTCATAAAATAATAAGCAAGGTATCAAAGAATCAAAGAGAAGGACACTTCTCTGAACTACAAAAAATAATTTGTTATAAGGAAGCTATATGACAACGGAGTTTTCCGAGTTTTAATTTGCCAAAGTACGATAATTCATAGCTTACTTAAGCATTCGGACCCTTCAAACTCTTGGGACCAGGGTTCATGGAGGCCACAACTACAAATACTCAAAGATCTTCCTTAATTTTTGTTTACTGATCTATTTTCCCTGAAAATCAAAATAAAAATTGAAACTTACGCTCTCCAGATCCTTCAATTGAAAATTCATTCATAAGATTAGCCAGTTCCTTCCTTTGCGCCTTCTAAAATAGTAAGGAAATATACACTACAAATTAAAAAAATGTACCCTTTCTCGTTTATTTTATATGACAATTTTGAGTTCCGTAACTGCATGATTATGAATAACGACTGTTAGGAAACATAAATACGCTTTTAATGATATGACTGATTCCGAGAGCCGACAAAACGGAGTCAATGGGACAGGTTAACAACTGGCGTTTGAATGAGATCTCATATGTGCATGAAGACCAATCCTGGATAAGCAAACTCAGCTATTGATCACTTAACATACGGAAGTATTTGAAACAGACCTTTGACAAAATAATGGGGATAACTGATCACCAAAAAGACTGCGTGCCTGGCATTACCCATCACCCAGTCACCACATCTTATCGTGATTATTTCATAAAATAGAATGGAGCAGTTTCTTGGCCACACTTGCCTTAGTAGCATCAATTTTGATGACTCTGTGAGGAGCTTCTTTGTGAGTTTGGATGGCTGCTTGCCTATAAAAATTAAAACAGCAATGATCAGTTATCCGTGAAGAATATTTAATATCTGAGAGGGAAATAAAGTAAGCTTCCAAAGTCAGTTACAAGCCTAATGGGCCATTACTTCCTTACAGCTTCTGGTTTCCACAACATTAAGCATGTTGACACAGAAAACTAAAGGCGGTCTATGACTGTATGTGCGTACTGTTGTATAGTTGTAGAGTATTGCGGTAAAAAAAGTATTGTGGTGTAAAATGCAGAGGAGTTAATGAACAGCAGTCAATGTCAAACTTGAGACAAAAGTCAGACTGCGTACCTGGCGCTACGGAGAAACCTACTCCTCCAAAGTCCGAAGGTATATGGTTCGAGCCCTAGCCGCGCCGACTCTTTTCTTTCTTTTTCTTTTTTTTCCTTTCTTTTCTTTCTCTTTTTTTTTTTTTTTTTTCATTTCAATTTACATTCTCCTTCAAAGGATATTTTCAGAGTAATCGCTCATTTGCGAACATTTGACGACGAAGCTCTTTTTGTTGTGTTGTGTCTGGTCTCCACAACATGAAGTATGTTGACACACAAAAAAGGAGTACTCAAAATAGATGTCTTAATCTTGTCACCAGTTTGGAACTCCACTTCCTTGAATCAAACCTCAGACCTTAAAAGTCCTGATGTTTTTTCCACATGTGAACTAAGCCATTTCTTAGTTCACATGTGACTGTTTTATTTCCTTACAAGATGCTTTTGATATATCTGATTCTCACAATGTACAGGAAGCTTTTCCCAAATGACAATATGTGACTATCAATTCTTAAATAAGTCCATTAAAAATTATGGATCAATTATCTCCTAATTACTTCTTGAAAATTGCAAGATGATTGACTTACTCTTCTTCTTCATCTGTATTGAAGAGATTTAATCTAAACTGATCTACAGAACAAAATGAAAATACCAGTAAGTAATTGTCATACAATCATGATTTCAATTCCATGTCCGTCCACAAGGAGTTATTAGAAACATGCGACTTACTCTCTGGCTTTTTACTTGATCCTCCAACAAGATGAGCTAAAAGATTGAGCTCAGCTTTTGCAAGGGGATTTGGGTTACCTTGTGGTTCCTGGAAAATTTACAGAAGTGATCCATGTCAAAACAGGAAGCAAGGTTCTCCATCTACCCTCCTCCCCCACCCCCACACACACCCATTTATGGTGATGGTGATAGGGCCATAGGCCACAACCCTTTGCAAAGTAAGCTGAGTTCATTGGTAGAGTCATACCTGTGACCAACCCCTCCCCTCTAAAACAATGTTACTAAAAGATGCTTTTAGAAGGAGTGTCAACATTCTTGAAACTGGTTGAACATGTAGCTTGTACATCTGAAGGTTACAGTGGCATCAATCTGACTTTCCAGCACTTCAGTACTTTGACAAAAGGGCAAGGAAGCATCTAAACAGGAAGTTCTTTGCATTTCATTTACTATCCTGTAGCTGTATTAATTTATAGTAATGGTTGATTCCTGGAATCAGAGGGTCATTTGTTTCCTTCTTTCACTCCCAAAAGTGATTAACATGAGACTTATCCTTACAAAATTCATTCATTATCCAGCAAAGGGCATTTGAGAATACCCAAACTTATCAGGTAGAAGTTGTTATCTGGATCTAATACCAAATTCACCCAACTTATTGCCAGGAATTGTGTAAAAGCTGTAGGGGAGAAGTAACAATCAGATATATGAGGACGAAATATCTCAGATCTCTTCTTTAGATGCAACCTATTCTATCCAACAATTCCAATAAAGTAAACAAATCCACATATACAAACCCACCAATGTTGAAGCAACAGATACAGTGCTCCCTGGTACTTTCTTTGCTGAAGCAGAAGGGGCCATGCTGGCTGCTGGTGCAGGACTACTGGTTACTGTGTCTACTGTTTTAGAAGCTGTGTACCTGGAATAAGCAACAAAAAATCAAATTAGGTATCTTCATCTTAACCCTTCAACTCCAAGATATGATTGTTAATTCTCCTCTCTAGCTGCTACACATTTCCTTGAAAATTGGCTACAAGAATTTGGTGTTTGATCAAAGTAATATCTTATACCTGATGAGTTTGAGTATTCTCACAACCTGTTTGCTGAATGATGTATGAATATCATAGAGAGAAGTTACATGTTAATCACTTTTGGGAGTTTAAGGGTTAAGGGGATGGGATGTATACTTTTTTACACTGCCTCACAGGGAATATATCACAACAGCTGAATAATAGAATCTAATCTGCCTGCTTACATGTTACTTCCAAGCTTTATCACTCGATCTCCTAACAGTTCAAAAGATCCTGGCTTGTCTGGGAGCTGATGACGGCATCCTGTCACAAAATGACTTGTTCTTGAGATTTGTCCCTCAGAATTAAAATACCTTAAAAATAAAATAAAATAAATTATCATGGCTTGTAAGGAGAATCAAAAGATGATTTGTTAATTTAACTCATTTAATGGAAAAAAAAAAACCAACAAATTTTCATCATCACCTGATTGACCCAGGGACTTCAGTATCCCAGGGGACGGCTCCATCAGCTGGTAAAACAAATTTTCCATTTGCATTTTGAACTTTGTCTTTTAAGAAAATTGAAACCTATCAAATAAACCAGAATAAAGAGCTTGGAAACTGTAAAACACAACCACTGCTCACAAAGCATATGACACAATTAAAGATTTAACCCTGACAGGAGCATTTGATAACATACTGTGATCATGGTGTAGAATTTAAAGGTGCATGAGAGTGTTCAAAGCATTTCCCTGACCCCAATTAGTTCAGTTCAGGCATTGCTAAATGAGATCATCTATTTAAATTGAGCCTGCAAAAGATGACGGCTCTTGAGTTGCATGGAACAGCATATATTCTAGTATATCAATAAGTCTTTCAATCACATCAAGGCTTTACTAAACTCAAGTCAAAAAGACTTGTCATTGATAGGAGCTACTATACCTTTTAAATACTTTTAACTAGTGGAAGTTATCATTAGACTCAAGGATGTCAAAAAGTCAGTCATTGAATTTTCAGGATGAAAGTTACCCATCACAAAATACACTGTATATTCATGAATACATTTGTTAAAATAACTTACTCACCCTAATATGCATGTCCTGGAAGAACGAAAGAAGAGTCTGGCGTATGATTTGAAATTGCCCAGCATTCAATTTGGCATATGTCTAGAAATGACCACAAAAGATGACAGGTGGTAATTGTATTGAATTCAGAATTTAAAATAACTGTGTGTTTAACACACAACAAAACAAACATCAAGAATGAAAACAAATTATGCCTTGGTGTCACCAGGGCATAATTATCAACTTCAATAAATAATTGATGAACCAGTTTTGCTTAGAAATAGAGTGCTGATTATCATTAATTTTCAACAATTTACAGGCTGGAGCATACAATTACATGTACCATTACCTCATATAGAAGCTTGTAAACATTTTCTACTTGATTACTGATAGCAGGGTTATCGGAAGCAAAACTTCTTATTGCATCCATGTGATTATAGGTGACTAAAAGAACGTCAGAGGGTCGGAGACACAGAGAAACCTGACCAGGACAAACAAGAGAATAGTTAAGATTATGACAAGCATGAGAGTTAAAAATAAAGTTAAAAATAAAATGTTTCAAGCACTCGAAGTCAGAATTCTACCTGATATTTGAAAGCCATTGTCATCAAATCATACAGCTGTTGGAGAAGGATAATAAAAATCGAAAGAAATGGTTACAAATGTAAGATAGTTCTAGATCTGAAGTATCAACCGAATTTCATGTCTTCAATGCTGAATCTTGTTACAGTTAAATACTGTAACAGTTTTACCTGCTGAAACATGACATTTCCAGACTTACAAGAGTTCAAATGGACTGCTGATCATTAGTAGAACTCTACCTCCAAAATTGTCAGTCTTATACCATTAAATCTTTCAACACAATCTAGTAAATCTGGGTAACTCTAGCAAGGAGTTACTAAGTCTATCATTTTGGTCTTTTCGTACAGCTGAATCTTTTGAATTGTTGCTGTTGAGTGTTGGAATTGATGTAAGGAAGTTAAAATCTTCCCAAGGCCTTCAGGGGTCTACCACTAGCCAGAGCTGAATCACAAGACAGGTATACTTATAAAGAAAAGTGATTAAACCAAAATTCTCAAATTGTATTAACATTTTTGATAAAAGGTTGACCAAAACTCGTGAATATAGCCTCTGTTTGTCTTTAAGTTTGCTGTTCTTGTGGGTCAGGTCATTTTAAGGGGTCAAAGGAATAACTTTGACCTGGGCCTAATTTACCTCACCAAAACGACAACCTACCTTATCCATGCTGGCTGAGTTCAGTCTCATGATTGATGCATGTGCTAGTCTGTCAAACACTGTCCTCATGGCTTTCTTGGAGTAAGTATCTTGCGGCTTAAACAGTTCTTCCATAAACCGCTTGTTGAACATCGTCCCAATGATATCGTGCATAACTAATGACAATGAAACAGCATTAGAGTTAAAGAAGAGCAACATAACTGAGGATACAATGTAATCATTACCCTTTGCTACCAATGGCCAAAGCTGCACCATCTGCCCAAGTATACATTTTGTAAACTTGTGGATTACTTGCGGTGAAATTGGGCTAAAAAAATGTTGTTTTGTTGTACCCATTTGTTAATTCAACTTCTTACCAGACATACTAGACATACTGCATACATTTTCTTCTCGGGTACCTATGTGACAAACCTAAGTGCACCAAAATTTTACGAGATTCATATGATTCACACTTCTGTAAATTTTCCAGGAACCACAAGGTAACCCAAATCCTCAATTTTTTACCTCATCTTGTTGGAGGATCAAGTAACTTTTATCAACACCCAACATTCAAAGTGAAATAGCCTCGCAAAGAGTAAACACAATAGAATTTCAACATATTCCTGACTTGCATCTAAAAAGAGATCACACATCAGGGTTCTACTTGCAGCTGCAAGGGATGTGAATAATGACTAAACATCGTGTGTGAGAAACTTGTGATACAATATTATCACTATTAAAAATTTCCTCAGCCTTTCCTTTATTGGTATGGCAATGACAACAGCAGAGAGAAAGATCACATGTCAACACCAAAATTTTGTGCTGTACTCTTTGCAATATGTGTCATGGTTCTAAAGCCCCAAGACACTTTGTGCTCTTCCCAAGAGTCTTTTACACGAAAAGCTAACAGAGAAAAATTTTAACCCAAAACAGTCTGAAAATTGGGTTTTGGCCTTGCATGTGATATACAATGAATTACAATGCCACTTTTTCCTGACCATTCTTGTGTTACTGTTTCAAACTAATCTGTAATTTTTAGCTTCATGACATTAGTTTGCACGGTTCTGCCCGAGTTTTATAACATTCCTGATATTTCAATTTGCAATAACATGAAAATGACGGTGAAAACAAATATTACACTATAAGGTTGAAAAATAGGGAAATTTAGGGGTACATAATCTGGGAAATAAATTAGTCCGAAACAGTTATTACAAAAGACAAATACATGTCAAAACAGACATGATTAAAAATTAATCTTAAAATTTTAGTCTTTTTGTTACAATAGCTGAGAACTTCTTAATTTACCTTTGGGGAATCTCAAAAGGGATCTAATACCAGAACATTATGTGCATCAAATACTTTATACAGTCCAAAAGATCACAAAATAGTCACTAATGTAGTATAATATTTCACGTAACATCTGCTATTCCTAACCTTCAAATTACTAAGCTGTTTTCCAACAGAGTTAAGTCTCAAAACTAATTATTCATGATCAGAGGTTTAGTTGTGTAGTGGAAATAAAAATGCTCTTAACCAAAACATTAGGGGAGCTGTAATGGCTGTTCACTTCTTAAATGTTAAATCAACTTAACAAACATCCATGGTAAATGCATGTTGTTTTGCATAAAAAAAGATGCACCTGACTTTTCTTGTCCCCGGCAGCTGAATGAATAGCTCATGGCAAATAAAGATAATTCTTTATCTTTTGCTTTGAGCCACTGACAGATTACCTTAACTTGGAAATACCCCATTGTTTTAATAAACAAATGCATGATATTTGTTGGATGTAAACCAAAAGGACAAAAATCAGTATGCCTCTAGTGGTACACCTATAAAATCATTTCTAACTTATTACAATTGCTTTTGTCTGGAGCACTTCTGATGGGAACAATTCTCTTTCATAATTTCAAATAATAGGAAAGCCTGCAAATGATTACATCTGCAGAGAAAGAAACTGTAGCCTAACACTGTGAAAGCGCCTGACCACGGTTTTTTACCTATAAAACGATAGCTTTTTTTCTCGCTTGAGCATCAAAAATTGGAAAAGTAAAGCTCCTCTACATCGAATCAAGCGAAAAAGCTTATTCTACAACCTGAACCATGATCTATTTACGAATGGCAGACATAAACGTTGACCCCATTCCATAGCAATAGTCTATTTCTTGTAGAATTGAACTAACACTCATTTTTCGGAAAGTATCTAGCGTGTTACAAAGAAAAAACTGAGACCGATTTATAATAGGAACAATTTTAATTAAAGCAATTCACCATCGGATTACAGAGAGCTGACAGAATAAACGGACGGCATTATAAAGCTTATGGTATTAGCTTGAGTGTAACCGGCCTCTCAGTTTCAGCTGAAAAAACATTCCCAAAACACTCCGCAATAACTTTAAAAACTGGCACAAACATATTCTACTTACATCTATACCAACAGCTATCACGATAAACACAAAACTGGTCGAGAAAGATTGAATTTGACAGGTCATTTTCGGTTAATTCATCCAAAGTAGCAAAAATTGTAATTTCGTTCTCGCCCAATGCAAACAAATATGCGAGATCCGTAGCTACAAACCACCATAATAACACTTTATTTTGAAGGAGGTAACCGCAACACTTCGATTCAAGACGCAAAATCTCAGTTTAAGGCACGAAATATTTTGCGTGCTCGTTTGTTAAATTAGTTAGGAGAGCTTTTTCGAGGGGACGCCATAACTTATCAAACGCAAATACATCCGCTCGACTGATCGAAGCTTACCTTTTCTTGCCTTCTCGTCGGGAATCGACTGTGCTCGTAATCTTTGATCCAAGATATAAAGCATCTCTCCCCCGAGATTGAGGAATAAAATTGGTAAAGTTCGCAGCGACATCCCGTAAACGCATGAAGAAATTACAAGTGTTAAGAGACTATGAGAGCAGCTAGCTAGCAACTGCTTGCAGGCGAAATCAATAGATTATTGATAACTATCAGAGTTCATTAATCTTATGCACAACGAAACCGTGGGATGGAGGGAAAGGAGAATTTATAACTCACAAAAAAATTCAAGGTTAATCGACGGGCGATAAAATTTTTGTTTAACATTGGGTAGACTGAAAAAACCCTAGGCACTTTATATGCTACAGCACTTTTAAAAGAAGCGAAGCTTATTCGTATGGAAAGAGCTCTCTTCTGCCTGAGTAGCTTTTCTCTCGCCCGGGTTGGGGCGTCAATATTTTCTCGTTCGCCGCTATTGTTGCAATGAAGATAAACAAAGACACTATTAAAATACATAAATAAATAAATAAATAAATACACAAATAAGAAAATAAAAATAAAAATTTTTCTTTCCCACCACGCACAAAATATGAAGGAACAAGTGAAAGAGGAAAAACTTGCCAGAATATTTTTTCAGACGTCAACTAAAATGCCTCACTAAACAAACAACTAGGGCAATTTAACGAAGTAACTTTCAATGCGTATTAATAATTTATTTACGCAGCCTTTAGAATATGCAAATTAAGCGTGAATTGGACAGACCATTTCTTTTCTGAGTGGACAGACGGAAGATAATATCTTTTTTCTGCGCTCTAATCTTCCTCGTTGTTTTCTTCGGTCACTTATTGCGACTTATCATATGACCCATCCGGCCTCGGTTACGCGGAAACCACAGTGGAAGCTAATGTGTGTTGGGCCGGACGGTTGGTTTTGAGCCGGTCCGAAAAAAACCGTTCAGCCTTGCACTTGTATGGCTCTGTTACAAGAAATAAATAATTGTCTTAAAATCATCATCGCTTGTTAACTTTTTAATGGTTTTTACATAATTTTGACAGCTTTATGACAACGTTGCGACGCCTTTTAAGAACTGTTAGCCAATCAAATTAGCAACGATAATTATTGCAACAGGTTTGGACTATTTTAGAGTTATTTCAGTTCTCGCCAAATGAAAGACTGCTTTGATCCACATTTTAACAACTCGTCTTAAATTCTCATTGTGGTCAGTTGTGACAAAAATGAGAAAAAAAATTAAGGTTTTTAGGTTCGATGAATTGTGAGATACTTTTTCTGACTCAAAAAGATAAAGGAATTCTTTATTATATTTTAGCGTCTTTTTTTGTGGTTTTCCCACCTACGCTCGTCTACTGACTGCGTCATGTCTGAGTTGCAATATAGTTTTCGGAACTTTTAACACTGTTTACTAAGCCCCATATACATGGTCTCGGGTACCCAAGACAACCTTCCCTCCGAGTTACCTTGGGCGAGCTAACTTTTCACTTATTTCTTTACGAAATTCAACCGACCGTTTACATGAAGTCATGATCTCGTCTCAGGTAGGCGAGACAACTCGTGAGGGCGAGTTGTCTCACCTCGGCAGGTGGTGTAACCCTGGTAGGCGGGACAACTTTTCCTCATGTAAACACCTTGTCTCACCGACCCAAGACGAGATAACTCGAACAGAAAATGCGTGCGCACGCCATGATCAGGATGTTTACAGCAATTTTTTTCCCTGTCGTCCGCCATTTTGTCAATTATGTAACCTGGCCGAACGAGGGTCAGCAGATGTTAAATTTCATACAAACGCTCCGTAAAGTTATTTAGGGAGGAGGGTTGTCTCGGGTACCCGAGACCATATAAATGGGGCCTAAGTGGTTTCGTCACTTGCAAATGTGCCTGCTTGCGCGAATTGCTTTTCACAACTAAACTTAACTTCTTTTTAGCACATTTCCCATGAATGATTTCAGGCTGCTATGAAAAATGCGATAACTTCGTGCATTCTTATTACCACACCCCTTTTAAGGGAAAGTCACTAAATAAAGAACCCTTTTCAATCAGTGGGGAGGGGAAAACACCATGACCGGGCCATTCAGTGACATTCACCTGTAGGGTTAATTGGGGCGGGGACGGGGGCGCAATTTCCCAGTTTTTCTCAGTTCGTAACCGAAGCAGCCCTTCTTCTGGATCACCTCAAGCTGGCTTTAAAAAAACCCTTGTATAGCTTGATTTGTAATTTGTAATTGTAGTTTTGAGCAAAAAAAAAAATTAATATCCTTGTTTTGACTATGGCCATGAAGTCTGTTTTACAAGTTTAGTCAAGGCACAAAAGAGACAAACCAAGCGGCACCTCTTACTTAAATTAATCCTCACCAACGCGCAGGTAGGCGCTGTCTTCGAGATTTATATCGCACCGTCTACCATAACGACCCAACCCTAATGACTCGCCGTTTACTATCAGGAAATTTACTTTTAACAACTGAGTTGAAAACGCAAATTGGCCACCGTAAAGAGTTAAAAAGCTGACGTTTCGAGCGTTAGCCCTTTGTCAGAGTGATTGATTTGTAATTTGTAATTTTGAGCGAAAAAAAGCTAATCATATCGCTCGAAACGGCTAACGCTCAAAACGTCAGCCTTTTAACTCTTTACGATGGCCAATTTACGTTTTTAACTCAGTTGATAACACTAAATTACCTGTTATACTCTCCCACCGACGCAGCTCCACAGTTTCTTTAGAAACTCACCCCCTTTATTCATTTGTTTACTATTAGGCTTCGTTTTACTCACTAAACCCCTGGATTAGGCCAAGTATTTTGAAAGAGCAAGCGAGAGTAAGTTCAATGGAGAATTTGGAGGAGGTGCCTGCAGAGCAGGGAGGGGTGGGGAAGGAGAGTCACCTAAACTATGTTAATTTCAGACAAAAAAGAAGGCCCCAGATACGTGTTTGCATAAGTTATTTTAGAGATAACTTATACTCCACACCCTCGCAGCGGGCGTGGCCGCCATCACTTTATAGTTTAGATCAATCAGTAGCAACGAAAACGGGTGATATTCTATTACACATAGTTTATACTCTATCTACTATTAATAAAATAATACCATTATTACCAAAGATAAACTCTTCAGTCTCACTCGGAATATTATTTTATTTCTATATGTTTCTTAAGTTCCCCTATGTGAGTTTGAGTCATTTTCATGTTTGGAAAAACAACTGTCGAAAAATAGTTTCATCTTATTAACACAATCATACTTCATTAACATTTATCATTAGCATCGTAATCATTGCTGTTGTCAGTCTTCCCTAAATCAACCACAGTTTCTTGACTAAAAAAAAAAATTAGATTACAGTTCGTGCCATTTGAAACTCAACAGAGACAAGCAACGATTCGTAAGTGGGTGTTCTCATTAAAATATCACCCATCCCCACACGGGATGCAGTAAATCCTTTTTGTTGTCGTCATCGTCGATCCAGCTTTCTTCCTTGTGGGCTCATGCCAGTTGTTGTCGGGGTCTTCTTGTTGTTACAAACTGTCAAGGATCTTCCTGAAATGTTCAGATGACCTCAGGTCGCGTGTACATTGCACGAGCTTGTAAAATACCGGGCAGTCCAAAGACACACAACGTAACTTGGTATCACGAGAACCAGAACAGCCGTGACAAATCTGAGAAATAAATAAAAAAATTAGAAAATTGCGTTATCTCTGATTGACATAGTGAACATGCCACGTGACAACAATCTTGGCAGCTTACCTCTGCTAGGTGTTGATACGTTCGTTCCCAGCGGTGCATGCGGGTGGTCAGTATAACCGCTGACTTCTGGGACATACCTCGACATTTGGCGCACAGATCAGTTGGAGTAAGGTCTTGACAAACCGGGCATGCCATTGTTGAAAAGTATTGAGAAATAGTGCCCTTAAGAGACAAAATGCTGTGTGAGAGAGGGTTAAACAAGACTTGCCTGAAATGAAGCTAGTCAAGATGAAATAAATGGCTTGTATATGAGAAACAGCAAATTCTTGACTGTTTCTTCATGACATTAGAGTACTAAGAATATAATGTCAAGGAAATAAACCTTTTTTCTTTCTCCTGGATCCGAAGGCATCTGCGCCACCCGTACGACACGTGGGAGCTCCGCGTACCTAAATAATTTCAAATAAACTCAGTTTTTTTTTCTTTGTAAGCAGGAACACAAATTAGAAACTGGATGATTCACTACTAACATTGTTCAGCAAGTTCTGTTTCTATTTTCAATTTTTAACGTAGAGAAAGCGATATCTGCTGTTTCAAAAGATAATTCCCACATCGTTTCACAGAGATTAAGAACAACAAGACATAATCAGAATGTATTAGGATCTCTTCAGTTACTTTTTTATGTCACTGAAATTTTCTATTAAAGAAAATTCAGGGATAGTAAGTTAAGCTGTAGGAGAGGGAAGGGGGAATTTAACCAAGCTGGACCGGACAACAGGAACAGGGGAGTATTGCTAGTACACACACCCCCCCCAACTCCCCCCTGCTCTCTGGGTGGCTCTACAGGTGCTATCGCAAAAGTAGAAACCTAAGTTAAATCCCTTCCTGCGGCTAAATAGTTAAAAACAAATGACGCTGCACGTACCATGTGAACACGTCTAGGCCAATGAGAGAGAAAACGCGATTGAGCGGTGGTAGGATCTGTTTGGTGATGTAATAGGACGCGTTTAACCGAAGGCCTGGATCCTGGAGAACTTCATGAGGTCTGGGGACAAGAGAATTATTGAGAACAAGTCAGGTGATGAATGAATTGGGGGTACGGGTGGATGGTTAGGTGGCACGTGACGGGCAAGCCTGGGCTGGGTTTGGCTATACTTAATTAAATTAGTTTATTCAATTCACTTTGGAGCCGAGATGATTATTAGTTCGTCCAAATATGGGTTATCCTGATAAATTAAGCGTAATAGATATTGATAGTGGTAAAGATGCAACTATATGGCGCATTCTCCATAGTAATTTGCTCTAATGCGATTTATAACACTTTGCGGGGGACTTTGGCCAGACTGAATTGAAGGATTTACAATTTTTGCGAGGGAATTTTGCAGACTTCCCTAATTGGGAAGTTTTGGAAACGAGGCCAGACCGTAACATTAGGAGTTACGTTCCTTACTCTTTCAAAGAAGAGCGTGCGTTCTTTAACCTTTTAACTACCATGAGTGACCAAGATAGAATTTCTCCTTACAATATCAACACAATATCAAGACAAGTGATGAGAATAAAGAAAAATATTAATCAGGGAATTATTAGTTGATCCAATACCAAATTCTCTAAACTAACGTCACGATAACTATATGACAGATAGTAAGGAGAATTACCCATTCTCCTCCGTTATTTTAAGATTTTGAGTATTGGTCTGGTCTGGAATTGAACCCTCGCCCTACCGCACTGCAGTTCCGCGCTCTTTAAACTGAGCTGACCAGGTGGGGGGCTGTCATTTACCAAAAGCTTAGAATTCACTTGCTCAAACGTAACTTCTGCATGGCGTTTACCACGGCCAAATATTTTGGAATTTAAGGGGTTGCATCGGAAGACAAGCTTGTGTTCTTTTCCTTAAAGCGAGTGGAGTGTAAGTTCTCCACACCCTGACGGTGTATAGATGAATGGAAATGACCAGTTGGATTCCAATTCGTATGTTCGTTGAAGAAATTCATTTTGGAATTACGCTGAAGTTTGTGCCGTCAGTTTAGTAATTCTCCAAGGTAACATTCACTAACCGTCTTACAAGTTGAATCAATGGTAATCCTGGACTTCCATACACCACTACATATGGGACTCTTTCTCTTACTCTTGGCTCTGATCTGCGGTCCTCTCTAAGCATGCGCCTTTTAAATCAAACAATAAAAGTTAGTTAATGAAAGTTACGACCGAAGCTATTAATACCCCTTCAGTATTTATTGATTACTGAATGAAAGCCTACGACAAAGCAATTAGATTCATATTTTCAGCATTTCCCCGAAGTAAATCAAACTCCCCGTTTTGACTCTCTCCTCAGTCTCCATTCGACTTTACCTCGTGAGTTCCAGAGCTGGCACGCATGCGCCAGGTTTATAGCTTTTCATGCCGCGGTATTCTTTGGCGAAAGTGAAGTCCTGGAGACTAACACGTCCCTCCATCAACTTTGTGCACTGCCGCTGGACATACTTCTTGATCAAGGACAGGTCACGCGTTTCAAACAAAATTCGCAGCGACTTTTCGAGAATCTAGTGGTCAAAGTAAAACGCCAAAATATGATATATGATAGCGATTCAAAAGTAAATTATGAATAAACAAGTCATTTAAGCTGACAGCGAACCTTTGCCACTGCGGGAATTGAGTCTCTTCGTACAGTCTCAATCCCTTTAGCATCAAACACGGGTTCCTTCTGATCAAGTGTTTCGTACATGTATCCAACGTAACGCTTCTTCGTCTGTAACACACAAGGCAGATAAACCTAAAAAGATATCAAACAGTTAAAACGGAAATAATTTGATGCAAGCTTTCTCGTATGATGACAGGGATTCGATTTACCATTAATCAATAAAAACTTTTCGCGCAAAAAAATTTGAGTGCCAAATGTATTATGGGTAACCCGTGGTTCTGCTTCATTATCATGATTGGTCGTTGTGATAAATTTGGATTTGGCTTCAAGAGATTCCGTCGGAATTCACTTTTAACCCCTTTACTCCTCAGAGTGATCAGCACATGTCTTCTCCCTTCGATATCAGCCCTGAATTACTCACTAAGGTCGAGAGAACAAAGGAAATGATCATTAACTTAAGAAGCTCTTGATTGTGAAACAAATTCTCCTTGTCAGCACCTTGGCATATGAACAAAGAACAGTAAAGAGAATATGCATTCTGATATCGGGGTGTAAAGGTTAACTGTAATGAATGAATCAAGGAGTTTTAGCTCATGCCGAGGAACATTCTAAGGGTACTCACACACATACAAAAAAATTACCAATCACTCCCTTCAAGTAAACTGAAGGTTCCCCTGAGAGCTCACAGTTATTTTGAGAGTGAACTCTTTCGCGGAAAAAAAAAAAAATTCCCCGACCCGCGTTCGAACCCAGACCTCTTAATCCAGGGTCCAGCGCACAAATCATGGAGCCACCGCATCTCCAAATTCAAAACCATTTAAAGGATCAGCACTTGTCAATCAAAGAAGTTGAAGCTTAAATTTACTATACAAGTATTTTAACCCTGCCAATATCGAGAACGTCACACCTTTTCAAACTTGAGTTTAACTGGTTTAGGATTCATGGCTGTGACGGTATCCACAATGTCTTTACCAATATTGAAAGCTTGTTCTTTAGTGGCGCCTTTGAGTAATACAAACAAGCTGAAAGAGAACATCAGAAATATTGCAGTGTTCATTTTTTTTTTTCACGATATTGTTAATATTTTCGGCGGTAAAACCCAGCTTACCGCCAAAACTTTGCAGGCAAAATACATACGTACGCTTGTATTCACACTCACAAATCCACTTTGCTGTTAAAATAATTTCTTAAGTCATTGATTTTAAAGATGGTCATAAAACAATAGAGTATATGTTTGCGAGCACAATTATGTTTTGGACCCGAGTCCGAATCACGTTAGCCCGTGCTGCCAGGCGAGATTTAAAATAACTCTGAGAAGGGCCTAAAATTCATAAATGCCCAAGAACACAAACTGTCTTACTATCATCATCACTTTAAAAGGCATTGAAAAACTAAAAACTGAACCAGTCTGAACGATCTCGCAAACGTGCGAGTGAAATAAAATACATTTTAACCCGCCAATATCTCTATTTTAGCCCAAAAAATGCGCCACAATGCCCGAAAAAGTGATCATATTCAATATTTTGACACCAATAAAGGTAGACGAAGAGCAGCCAAAAGAGAGAGGCTTGTTCTTCTAAGGCATACGTTAGAATTGTCCCTTCTCGATGTGTGTCTGAGCGTATTGGGATAACTCGTGTAAAATAATGGCTCTAATTATCAACATTTTGCCATGCACTAATAAAACAAGAGCGCTAAGAAACAATGGTGTTGTTAGGAACTGGTTTGATGTATGTCGACTTAAAACCAACAACATGCGCGTGTCCACCACCACAATACGACCTGACACGCGAGGAGCGGTTTTGAGAGGGAGCATCCTAAACTACGCAAGGAACTAATGGAAAATCGCGACGATTTAATGGTAAAGCAATAGCTCTGCCCGCACGTTTGAACCTTTACATTTCTTAGCCGTAGTATGCAAAACCTTAAATCAAATTTGGCGAAGTCTAAGAACGGGAGTCTTGACAGCAAATCATTCAAGTTTCGACACTGAACTCAACACCGCATTCACATGTTGTGTTAAAGGAGAGAAGGAAGGTAAAAAAGAAAAGGTAAAAACTTTAAGTAACTCTCAAAATTGTGAAGGAAAAGAAAAGTTCATTTCAAGTCGCCTTTTTTCTCAGGCGTCGCCTTCACTAGTGACATTTCGTATCTCAGATACTTTGGAATCTCTTTTTGTTTCACCACAGTCTATGACTCCAGACAGCTTTATATCGACATTAAAAACATCATCAACACAGAAGGCAAAAACAGCGCAAATTCAAAAGGGAGAGTTTTAAAAATTGCTTCACGTTCGTAACACTATGCAAAATAAAGCGATTTTACGTTTCGAGTTTCCCCACGTTTATTTTTTTTCCCCCGGCAAAAACATTACGGATGTGGAAAGCCGTCGTTCTTCTCATTAAACTCTATTTGTTTCTTTCTCGTTCCGTTTAAAAAGTCAATAACGACGTAGGTAAACATCGGGCAACCGGCACATTTCTTGTACGGACGCAATGGACAACAGTCTAAAAATCCATACAGCTTTTTATCGACATTCAAAACTTCATCAACACAAAAGGCAAAAACAGCGCAAATTCAAAAGGGAAATTCTTGAAAAATTGCTCCACGTTCGAAACACTACGCAAAATGAAGTGATTTTTCGTTTCGTGTTTCCCCACGTTTTTTTCTTTTTTTCTCTTCCCAGCAAAGACATAATGGACATGTAAAGACAGCGTTCTTCTCATTAAACCTTATCTGTTACTCTCTCGTTCCGTTCAAAAAGTCAATTTGAAAACGTCAAACGACGCAAGGAGACATCGGTCAGCCAGCTTATTTCTTGAACTGACGCAATGGATACGCGTGAATTCCCAAAAAACATTTTTTTCAAAATAAGAGTTCATTAGAAGAATATCAAGAAAATATTTCAAGAGTCTCGATGATGATTCTAAAATTCTCCTGCATTGAATAACCATTCAGGAAGTTCTTCTCTTGAAAACCATTTCCTATGAAAGCTGGAAGTAATATTTACAAAACGTGACAGAGGAAAAGGACTTTAATATTTCAAGAAGAGTATCTTGCGTGCGGAATCTTAAGAAAGCAAATACATTATCTTTCTTAGAATAATCCATAACTCACGCACTCGATCAATACTTTTAAAGAAATGCGATTAATGCGGTAAATCCACGATTAAATCACTCAATTCATATCCAGCCATCGCGCATCGATCCGAAGATAAGTGCGGTGATCACGCTATCGAAGTTCACCGTCTTCAGCCCGAAACAATTCGTGCTAATAGCTTCTACTAAAAAATCAAACAGTTTGATCCACATCAGCGATTTTTTTTTCAGACCCACCTTAGCCCTCTCTGTTTTGAAATTGAATTTTTTTTCCGATCGTTTTAGTAGAAAATTGTCTTTGTTTTGTTTACTTCCCACGCTCACTAGGAAGCAAAAAATCTGCATAGGTGGCCACTGCACGATGATACGTATTTTTAATTCGATTTCGTAATTTTGAAAAACGTGCGCTAATTCAAGGGAAATCCTACAGTGCTGCGTTGGCTTTGATGCAGAGCAGCCCGAGCAAATGTCAGGACATCACAAGGATTGAACTACTAGCGTGTATACAATATGAAATTGGATTAAAAGATTGAATCAAACTTGGAAACATTTCAAGTTTTTATCTCAAAATTCTAGAGGATGTTAAGAAACGAGGAGGGACAAAAATGTTTTCAAGAAAGTGTTGACGAAAAAATTCCGGCGGATGTTGCCACAGTTTTAAAAGAGAAACTTAGCTTCAGGGAAAAAATAAAATGAGATGTGTTTATCTCAGTTCCAGTCAGCTTTATCACCTGTCAGTATCTCCATACACGACACGCGCGCTCCAGCGAGGAGTGTTGTTCACTAGGTCAATTGCGCGCTCGAGCGTCTCGCGCGCTTTACGGACAATGCTGTCACCAATCTAAAAGGAGAAGAAAGCAGTTTTAATAAAGGTAGCGTTCAAATCAAGGATTATGTGGAAATTTACGTCGATGAGGTCACCAAAACCACTGACTTGAAATAGATCTACCTATGGAAACTTTTTAGTCTTTCGTGAGTATTTCCCACCCACGCTCGCTCTCACGCTCGCTCCCACGCTCACTCGAACCTCCCCTTACATTCTCGCTCGCTCTCACGTTCAGTTTAGTCGGCTCCGTTCCTATTCTTTTGATCTTTGTCATGGTGCGCTTGTCCTCTTTCCTTTTTTTCTTCTCTCGATCACTCAGTCCCTCAATCGTCACTCAATTTTCTCTACGTCATTTCCCCTTTCCTTTTCCCCTTTTGTACTCTCTTTCTTGAAAGTGTAAACATTTTACAGAGCATGATCATTTCGGCTATCATAACAAGTGATTTCAATAACTTTTCCATACGCGGCTGTCGATGATGTACTAGGCGGTTTTACTCGGAAAGGCGAAACCCAAACACGAGAGCCTGCTTTTAAGTGGAATAAACAGTGGTAGGAGGTCTTATGAGATGTTATAGACCGCCAGTAGCCGGCTTTAATAAAATCGCCTTTAACGAAACCCCTACGTAAAAAATGCGGTTGTGCCCGGTAAGGGACCGTAAAGCGAAACTAAAGAGGTCTTTTAAGCGGTGTTAGACCGCCAATAGCCGGCTTTAATGAAACCCCTGCATAACAAACGCATCTTCATTTCTACCCAAGGACTCACTCATGAGAGACCCTTCAAAGCAGTAATTCGTCCGTCACACTTTTAGTTTCAAGCCCAACTAGTTTCAAAATGATAGTGTTGCAAAGGATTCTCAGTAGCGTAACATGCCATCCAATGACTCGAGAAAATCTTAAATTTTGCAACGCATAGTTGTTTAGTCAGCGTTAGTTCTTTCTGTTAAAGTAATCATAATTTCTTTTTTTGTTTTTTTTTTCCTTCCTTCGTCTCACCTCTACACACGGCATCCTGCCGGAGAAATGAGCAGATGTGTACCCAAACGTCACATTTGCTATCAGCTTCAAGCCCAGTTGACGAGCATCTAACATTCGCCCGAGAGCCTGAGAACAAAAGAAGAACATTTATTAAATTCATTAAATTCTCTCAAAGAATCAACAGAACATCAAGATCACTTGATTTCACTCGCTCGACGCTACTCTCATACATTACACTAAAGTTGAGGCGTGGCGCCGTAAGAGACGGTAAAAACATCCAGTTATTCGTGAAATTCAAGCTATAAAAATAAATTCTCTTTTTAATCGACACTGATTTGCCTGTGGTCTGTTCAAGGCATTTTGAGACAACGAGACAACCGCGTAACACATTAACATCTCCAACGCCAAATGCACTCAAAGAAAACCCCTCACCTTGTCTGATTTCCATTTCTTCATTGACGCCTTCACCATGATTCGTGTCTCAAGGATCTCTTCCAACATACTAAAGGAAGAGAGAGGTCGTACGTTGAGACTTCTTATTACCTGCCTTCGAGTATCTAAGGAAATGTTCGCAAATGACTTCAAGCGAGCTATTTACCTGGGAAGAACGCCCCGTCTTATGTTAGATTTGACAAAAGCGACACCATTTGGAGAGACATGTATGTCACCCTCAAGTTTCTTAAAAAAGGGAAAACAATTGAAGACAAGTTTGAAAAGAACGTCAGTAAATTTTCCAGGGCTAAAAAAGGGCACAAATAAGTATTCCAAACGCTGCAAAAGAACAAACGGGAACAAATCGTGGACAACGAAGTTCAACACAAAAGACAAGGTATATTTACTCTCAGAAGACTTGGAGGAACACATAAAGAGGTGGCACCAAACTTGAATTCACCGTACCTACCGAATAAAAACAAAAACGAAGCACCTTCTAGTACAAATTTCACAATGCTAGTACTGGTTAGAAATGTGGTCGACGACAACAGAGTCTACCCTAAGGCAAAGGAACCTCGAAAAACAAAGTAAATTGGCCATCGTAAAGACTTAGAAAGTCTAGACTGTCTTTACGGTGAGCAATTTACATTGTTAACTCAGTTGATAGAACCAAATTATTTTGTAACACCCTCACTGACCCAGCATAACAGTTACTTAAGAAATTTAGTAGAGGCTGAATATGATTTCGAGAGCAATTTGGTGTAAAGAAGCACGAGTAAATTTTTCAAAGACAACAAAATTGCACTAGGCCGTAGGGCGAGTGCAATTTGTAATCTTGAAAAATTTACAAGGGTTTAGTTACACCAAATTGCACGAGAAATGATGTTATTACTTATTAATTATTTACATGAAAAAGCATCACAGAAAGTCAAGACAGACGAAATTTTGACCGCACGCGCGCTATTTGTAATTTGCACTCGTGTTACATGAACATTTCACCCGTTTTCAGTCCATCAGAGGCGCGTCATTTTTCAATCATTACCCCCTTTATTCAGTAGAAAACAAAGATTACACTGAACAAAACTACAGCGAAGATCTCATGGTTATGCAAAGCATAATCAGACGGTACTTAATTACTTTTGTCACCATAGTACTTTTCAACGGGTTGTCGAAGGAGATACCGATTTTCGGTGGTTTTCTATTTCTTGAAACGCTTTGTATACTTGTTTTCCCTAACTTTTTACTTACTCCGACAGACAACTGACTCGCCCAAGACAGGTGGAGAAACAATAGTTATATGCAATGACCATTGAGGGATACAGAGACTGGAAATCGAGGACCAGGACTGGATCACTGTAGAATCGGGATTCCGGTTCCATTACCAAAGGAATTGTTTCTGGGGCTCGCATACTAAAAAAAAGAGATTGTATCAAACTTACCGGATAACTTATAGTTAAAATCTTATTCACAGAGCGCTTTTCGATTGAGTGTTGTAAAACCAAACAAGAAAGGAAATACACCTAAGAACCCACGAGAACTAAAAACAAGCCAACCGCCGAAAGCGCGGGAAAACGCGGGTGACCAAGTCACGATTGTCTTTAGTTTTCAATCTGATTGGTAGAGAAAGTGGCGCGAATTTTCTGAACCAATGACAGACAAACAGAGCAATCAAGGATTACTTTGGGAACTTGAAGGAGCTTTGTAATAAAACCGGCCCTAAACATACTAGCACAACTTACAGTCCACGTTGTTCGATGCTGGGAGAAACTGCAATATAGTTCATTGGTTTTGCTATCCTTAGCATCATAGACTCCACACGATACTGAAGTGAGAGAAAAAGAAAAAGAAATGGATTGTTTCGGACACTTAAGCCATCACATCGCGGAGTCATCATTTTTCGAATCCAATTTTTTATGAGGTTTCTTGTGCGTGGCATACTTTTAGATCTTTTTAGATAATTACTAGTATGAGTTACTGCATTTGTTCTACTATCGAAGATGAAATCTAATTCACGTTTAAAGCTCTGGGCTTAAACTAGTGCATAGCAACTTTGTATATTCTAACCTCGAGATTTAGCCCCTTTTTTTTTCTTTTTATCCGGTGGCTGTTTGTTTGTTTGTTTGTGTAGGTTAAGTCTGTACTGCACTAGAGCCGAGTGACCCATCCTGCCAGAGCTTATCCCGGTTTCCATAGCATGAAGCTACTAAGCGTTTTACTTCTCCCCCCTGGATGGGACACCATTCCATTGCTAGGTTACCTCCCAGCATTTCGAACCAGAGTTCAGCGCACTGACCATCAGGCCAACACGTCTTGCCACGCTTATGAACTTACTTACTTGTTTTGACAGGTATTCACATGCATAGAACCTCATTTGTTGCAAAATACCTGCGATCCACGAGATATGACGGAGAAGAACAAGATCCCAAAAAGCCTTGCCAATTCACTGGTTCGACCGATGAAATCCAAGGATTCCAGAATCCTAACGTTACAACGGCAACGCGTAACGTAATGATCGACGGTCCTCCAGCGGTTTAATGACGTTCGCTGATCCCACCAGTCCGACAGCGTGCGAAACGAGTACAGCGGTATTCGTTCGTGAAGAACGTGAAATGCTACGTTCTCAAATGAGTAGCTATTCAGGGCTGCCTAAGAAATAAATGGTTTAGTTAACCATTTAAACCCTAAAATTATTACTCATGTTCTTCATGCTGTTCGCTATACATTTCCTGAGGTGCCGACGCGGAGAATGAGCGGAAAGAGTGAAAATATGTGTATATATATGCAGCTAAAATTGTTTCAGCAGTGTTAAGTTGGCTTTATTTGTTTTTATTACTTCCCCGCATTACCTCGTGTCTCATGAGCCTCCAGACGTTTAAAATGATGCGTCCAGCGATCTTAAACTCAGAGGTATGCGCAGCACCCCAGACGTCTTTCTCAGCGTCCATATTACAGTCAGAAGACGAACCTTTCACGCGTGATAACCAACTACAAAAGTCGATCTCGAAGACCAGCGCCCTCTCCAAAAGAAATCCCCAAGAGAACATTTGTATCTCAAAACCGATCAAAATGTCAGGGTCCCATCTGCGGATGATTCTGATCAAAGCAGGGAAGAGATCCTTCTCCTCGGCCACATATTGGATATCATGATCTGTGATTCCTGACCGAGATAATAAAGATCTCAGATGAGGCGCCTTGGTGTTCTGTGTAGCTCTTGATGAGGTCGATACTATCGTCTGGTTTGACGGCGAAACTGGTGTTGTGTTGTTGGTGATCGGAATACTTGCTTCTTTGTTTTCTAGGAGGGAAAACACTTCAGATTAATTTACCATTAGCTAATAAAATCAACACCGCGTTTGAAATCCTCGGAAATTCTCGGAAAATTCTTGGAAAGTTCTCGGAAATTCTCAGGTGATGCTAGTTAATGTTATTGTGACTTGAGTAAATTGCCAGTATCTAAAACTTTTAAAGCTATAGATTTGGAATATTCGTAATTTAAGGATGTTTTCAAGTTTCAGTGATCTTTGTTGCAAATGGCACCCACGTTACAACTTTGTTGCATTCGTTGTATATAGGTAGGGTTCACCTTTTACGGAATAGTACACTCACCTGTTGTGTAGCTACAAATCTTGGCAGATTCTGGGTCCACGCAGATGATTCCAGTAACTCTGTTTTTTCCAGAAGGAAGAGGAGTGTCAGTTTGGATGTAGTAGAAAATCGCGCAAATTGGGTCAAATTCAGGATCTGGTCTCATGTCACGCCTTGTTCTTACATGAAGCTCTAAACTAAACAGTGTCAAATGCTGTACCTACAAAACAAACAATTATTCTTTCAGTGTCCTTGTAATGTCATCACACATAATGAAATTTAAAGCAATACGAGAAAGCCCGTAAATATCTAAACGTTCTCGATCAAAAGGGTGCAGAATGACAAAATTCTACACACGTACATAAGTGAATCGCAACAATAACCTTTCTAGGCTTTTAGATTATTGTGAGTGATAAAATATTCAGACTATGCGTATCTTGGATAAAACAAAACCAAGAAGGTTGTTTTAGGATGGAGAAGGTTAATCCTTTACAACCAAACATTAACATCTAAATTCTCCACACTTTTCTCTTCACGTTTCCAATAGAACTGACGAGGAGAATTTGACAATCAGGAGCGTCTTGAAATAGGTGATCATTTCCTTTACTCTCATGACATATATATTTGATTCAACAGTGATACTGTACGGAGAAATCAGAAATCAGTCACTAAAGGGTTAACGCAGATTTCAAAGGAGATGCAAGTAAAATTTAACCTACTCTAACAGTGAGAAAGCTCTTAGATATCCTCGATAAGATTTCACTCCTTTGGAACTCCAGACAAAGACAGTATCAAACCAAAACCACAGCCTAACTTTATGGTGGCTTTTACCTCGTGGAGGGCCTTGGTGTCCTTGAGGTTGATCTGAGAAACCTTGAACCCGTAGGTGTTGTTGGGAGAAGGACCGTCGATCTGTGAGCTCCATGGCAAATGGCACCTTGGTTTGGAGCCAGGTGTAACGAGCTACAAGAAAATGAAATGCAACGAAGAATAAAATAATTTTCCAGAAGAATTGATCACAAAGAAAAGTTAAGAAAAAGAGATACCTTGAATTGGCTAGCCAGCAGTTGCTGTCGTAGAGAAGGTGTCTGGTCTGAGGAGACCTGGTGACCGGTACTACTCTTCATAGGATTCTGGGGACTAGTTTCCAGACTCTTCACATTAGTAGCGGCTGAGATTGGAGTACAGCGGGGTGACTGGAGGCCGTAGACAAGTTTTGTAGCCACCGGGGTGCTGTGATGAGGCGCGGAAAAGGTGAAATCTTGAGTTTGGAATGTCGGCGATAACAGTTGCTTTATGGTAAGAGGACTGAGCTGTGGAGTACCTTCTGGAGAAATTCTTGATGGCGGCGTGCCTGCCTTGCATTGCGTGACTACATTAGGCGGCGAGTTTGTTTCTGTAGTAACATTGTCAGCTTGATGAAGTTTTTCATCGTAAACAGCAAACCCCAGGCTCCTATTAATAGTTATTGGTTGCGTTCCTGAAATTTCGCATAGATTGTGTTTTCCATTTTGTGTAAAACTTGACGCTAGTGTACACATTTTCTCCTCGTTTGGCGAGAACAAGCTGCCGGGACTAGTTACTTCGGCAGGACTTGAAGAATCGGACAGATCTAGGACATCTGTCTTTTTATCTCTATCAATACCATCAAGCATCTTTTGCTTTTGCACAGGAACACTAACATGATTTTTTAAAACGAGCCCGCCTGACCCGGTGAAGATTTTATCTGGAGGAATTTTTGGCGGAGATGATTTCGGTATGACTTGATTAAGTTCGAATTTTAAAGTTTTTGAATCGTCTGCAACTGTTTTAGTTTGATTTGATAACTGTTTAGTCACAACTTTCTCCAAATTTCCATCTTGCGATGTCTCCTGTTTTTGTTCCGCTTTTTTCAAAGACGTTCCCCGTTTACGTTGGGCCATTTTATCTCGTGCCCAGGCCTTAACAGCCTGAGGTGTTGGCGGGCCTCGACATGGTGTTACCACTACATCTCCGTCTCCCATTAACGCAATCTTCAGCTGGACATTTTTTTCAAAGTCTGCTTCAGCCCCGATGGTTTGGCCAAGATCACGAAGGCTAAATTCGCGAGCTGATGATAACACAAATCTCCAGTGTTTCAACCCTGGCAAAGAACCTGCCGATTCAAACTCTGGAAGGCTTGAAACCTTCAAGAAAAAATGTGAAATAGGTCTGGTTAGGAGATGTTTTTGTAGTATTACTCACTAACCTAAGGGAAAGCTCTCACAAATTTTGGCGTAGTGGAGAGAACTACCCTTTAGAAAGATATGTTTTACTTAAAAGATTAAATAAGACAAAGAAAATTTTTCTGAATTGAACAAAAGTTTACACTTTACAGCGGTTATGCATCACAAAACGGTCACAAAAGCAGTGAAAAGTTGATATTTCCGATAGTTAAGGCCTCGTGCACTAAGAGAAATCCTACCATCCCCGCTGGCTAGATGCTTTCAACTATTTTTTTTAAAATACTGATTCTAATAATAATGATGAAAATGCAGATAATAATAACAACAATACTAGTAATATTTGATGATGATGACGATGATAACGATGATAAACGTCTTTGAGCTAACCTTTCTTGATTCGATTCTCAAAATTCGTCCGCCTACTTCCCTAAAAAAAAGAAAAAAAAGAAAACGTAATGAATCGATACTTCCTTATTTGTTAAAGTTCTAACAAGTATTTCTCAAGGTTTCTGGTGACTGTTAATTCAAGTGCTACAGGAATTTTGGAAGGAATTCACGCCAGGCGTGATCCAGCGAGCAGAACTCATTCAGTAAATCTCTTCTGCTGGCCACTGGAAGCGTTGAAAATATAAGGAAACCCGCGTGACTAACCTAGGGCACGACGGGACGTCATCTGGGTCACTGCAAAAAGGCCGTTGATATCTGCACTGAGGAAGTCCATAATCCTTGAGCGAGTTTAAAAGTTCTTCAGATGAAGGTGGCCGCTTTAAAGGTTCAATGGAAATAATATTTTTACACTTGAAGCTGTCGCTCTTAGATGATTCAAGTGACAAACTATCAGAGACACTCCGTGGAGCATTTGCACTGTCCTTGCTGCTTTTGTATATTCCGCCCGGTTTTGCATGCAGTTCAGCGGCAAAGTGGCAATTAAGCGGGTTTCCTGTGCTTAATGGTCTATCTCTACCATCGACCTCCACACAAATTTCCATTTCTTCGTTTTGCGGATTACACTGTTCTACTGGCTGGAATTCCTTCGAACTATTCTCTGCCAGATTCATCCTCAACACAAACTCTCCTGGGTCAAAGTCTTTTTCTCCTGCTTCAACAAAGTCAGGCGCGCGTGCTCGCAGCAGAAGCGTTCTTTTTGCTTCTAGTCCTCTTGACTCAGCAACTGATGTATTTGACCATGTAACACGGTTAGTAGTACTTTCAGTTGAGTTTTCTTCGGGAACTGTCGACCCTAAATTTGATATGCAGTCCTTTTCTTTCCTTGTTACATTTCCTTCTACTGAGGAAATGGCATTCGACTCGCTGTTCTTCACACGGATTTTGCACGATTCACCAACGATTTCCAGATCAACTTCATTTGAGCAATTGTAGCTATTTTCAACATGTCTGCACGCTTGCGGGTTGTTATGCAACACGAAAGTACTTTCAAATGTAGTTTGTGTCTCTCCGAGTTGAGGACCAGATTCTAGGAGCGACAACTTTGCGCGCGACGCAAAAGAGAGGATGCTCAGAGAGGATGCAGATATTCCGCCGTCTCCTAAAACGCTGTCTTCGTCTTCGTTAACAACGTTGCTATTTACAGTGAAAAATTGCTGTTGTTTCACCAGGTTCCCTTCACTTTTAAATTGATTCAGTGAAAGTCGATTGGCGTCAGATGGCGAAGAAGGACATGGAGGGGAATAACATTCGTGAATTAATGGCAAAGGCGACGGAAGAGACATGTTAAAAAGTGCATTAGCTAATAACTCCGTATCTCTTTCTTTTGGAAACAGTTCCTGAGATAAAAGTAGTGAGCCATTTAAGTTGTCACACGCGTTATCAAACGCCCCGCCCCGATTTTCACTAGACACAGACGAATCTGCAGAATCATCGAATTTACTGCAAGATGGAGCCGGCAACGTAAAAGGTTTCAACTCAGTAGAGGCCGTTGACGATTCAGCGTTACTCACAGAATCACCGTTCGAGTCAGAGTCAATGGGACTGGCTGGTATACAGGTAATGCCTTCCAACAAACCAGTGTTTGGAGCAAATTTAGTTTTAGCTTCAGAGCGAAAAAAACTACTGTTATTTTCATTGTCAAGTTGAGTCTCACAGATAAAGTCGTCTGTCTCGCTAACGGATTTGCAGTCTTTGACGGAACAATTTTCTGCGGAAGTTACCGAGGTTTCCTTGTCACATCCGTTCCTATCATCAAGACAAGTTTTATCTGTTTTGCTGAGTGTAAAAGAGAGCTTTCTTTTCTTCCTTATACCAGACGTGTCTTTCGATGGTTTTGGCTTCATTTCTTTTTTCCCTGTGTCTATCATACGCTTTCGCTTCAGCCCTCTCTTTCGCAGGGACAAAACTTGTCTCGTTTCATTGCGGGACTTTCCTCTAAGCTTACTATCAGATTTAAGGGTCAGTGCACGGGACGAGACAGAGGGTATAGAGGATGTTTCTATGCCACCTACTGTAGAAGTAGTTGACTGAGAGGACAGAAGTTCCATAACTTGCGCTCTGTTTCGGGACGAGGCTTGTCCCGTCCCGCAATTAATATTAGGATCTGTATAATCGCAGGCATGTGGGCCTAAATTCCGTGCAGAATAAGGATTTGGAGATGAAGTCTCCGTAAGCGGACGATTGGTATCAGGGACCAGATTGTCAATCACAACTTGACTCTTTTTGGGCGACTTTTCAATCATAACAGGTATCACTCCATACCTCTTCGATCTTTCTTCTTTTATCCTCGGAGAACTTTTCGCCCTCGACAAAGGGGACTTTCCATTCTTTCTCAGCTGAGGCGATCGATTTACAAGTGGTTTCTGTTCTCTAATGGGGCTGTTTAACTTCCCCCTTACAGCTGTATACTCCTCATTCATTTTCCTCAAACGTTGTTTGGCCTCACTAAGCTTCGAGCTCAGTGTTCTCGTATGAGAGATATCTTGCAGCGACACTGTCAAATCCTTCATGGCGTCACTAACAACACCCAGCGATGCCAGCACATCCAATTTCTTGCTTGCTCTCCGCGTAACTACCCCTTTACCAAGTTTATGTTCCTTCTGGTCAACCTCTGTCAACTTTCTTTTACGAAGAGAACTCTTACGCAAGTTTAATTCTTGTTGTTTGGAACACTGAGGTAACATTTCTCCCCCAGAGAGTTCAAATGGTGCTGAACACTTTCCCTCAGAGCGCGAGTGTAACCCGTCTTGCCTTTTCGAGCATTCAGGGTTTTTAACAGGGCTGTGAAAATATTTGGTTATAACTGAAGTACAACTCTCGCGCGACGTTCCTATACAATTCCGAGAAGTAGAAGTTTCTGCTCTGCTTGATTTATGCTCTTCTAGGATTTGTCTCGTCTGAGGATACACAATCATTTCATTTTTTTTGGATCCTACATTCCTCTCCTTGATCGTTTCACTTTCAGAATCACTGGAATCACTGAGAAACAACTTAAACTCATCTCTACTTTTCTCCTGCTGTTTGTCTTCGTCACAATTCATTGCAACCATTTCCAAGCTCAGCGATGGAGTCTTTCGATTTTTTGGAACAGACATACTCTTTCTCGAATACGTACGAACTGCCAGTCTTTCGTTTGGCCAAACATTTACGCCACAAGACTCTTCGCTCTCCTTGTTTTTGTCGTGTTTTTCATTTCTCCAAGAAGATATGAGATTTAATGTTGAGTTTTGAATTACATCCCTTGATATCTTATCATCCGAATTAAAACTCTTCTTAGTTTTGACTTTTGTACTCTTTTCCCGCCGTATTTTGAAGTCTTCTTTTCTGTCAGACTCTTCATCTGCGGCCCCGTCTAACTGGGGAATGTCTCCACCCAAGAACGATCCAATCCATGTGTCCATCATTCCTTCCATGTCATACTGAGAGGGCCTGGGAGGGAAAATAAAAGATGTATTCTTCATTTATTTGATCAGCAGTTGTTCGCTGTAGAGCCAAACACTGAGCAAGACCCCTAAAGGGTCTCGGAGTAGCAGAATTAAAACAATCGAGATATTTTTTGGCTTAGGAATTGCATGATAACTGAAGTAGTGTTATTTGGAGCTTAGAGACAATATCAGAGAGTTCCACCTGTCATACTGATTGTCACCGTCTTGTACATCGCCCTGGTCCGCCGAGAGTGCCGGCTCAATATCGTCCCAGACCTTCTGTGACATCATAATAGACTCCTCCGACTCACTAAGTTCCTCATCCTCATTAGCTTCCTCGTCACACGGCACATCTCCTGCCCGAAAAAAAATTTCAGATTGTTATGTTTGAGTACAGGTATTCACACTGGGCAAAACTTAGACGCTAATCTAACGCAGCCGAAAGTGCAATTTCAGTGGCGCATTAAAAGGGGTGTGAGTTTTTTCTACTTTCTCTTTCCTTCTCTCCATGACTGGTCTAATAAATTCACACCATCCTCTAAACCAATCAGACGCAAAACTGAAACCAATCAGTGACTTGGTCACTCACTTTTTCCCGCGCTTCAGGCAAGTAATTGGCCAATTCTTCATTCTGTCAATTGTTCCTTGAATCATTTAACAATTACACTGATTTGGAGATGTTATCACATATCTGCTTTGGCTCTACATTCAGTGGAAACGCGCCAAAACTCATTTTTATTTAAATTGGTGCAGTTTTTATCGTACCTTGATCCAAAATGACACTTTGACTTAGTGGAGCTTTCTGGCTGGCACACGGCTGACTGGGTTCCTCAGCTAAACTTGCCAAGATGTTGACCATCTCTTGATCCAAACTAGAAGCTACAAGAGTTTTAATTGACAAACAGTATAAACAACATTCTTTGCCAGTTTAGTTTAGTCTCTTCTAGACTTTTAAGCTCAGTTGGTAGAGGTGTCCGAATAGGAGAGGAAGGGCAGGGGTTCAGAACTCGTCTGAATGTTTTTAGACCTTTTTTGCAATGGCATTAACCCTTTAACTCCCATGAGTGATGAAGACAGAATATCTCCTAACAATATCAATACAATATCAAACAGATAAGTGGTGAGAATAAAGAAATATATCAATTTGGGGATAATTAGTTGATCCAATTCTAAATTCTCTGAACTAAAATTATAAAGATTGTATGCTTGACATTAAAGAGAATTACAAATTTGATCTGGGAGTTAAAGGGTTAATAACATTAAGCCTAAGATGAAGTTGCCAGGAGTTATATTATCCTTGAATTAACAAATGATGGACTACTTATAAAGTTAGTATAAGAGTAATATCTTGTGCCGACGGACGTCCCAACAGTCCTATGGTACCAAATGTCCCCAGCTTGAGGGGTCACTACCAACTTTTATCAACATGGTATCATATTGTTACAAAATATTTCTTAAGAAACATACACTTACAAAGTTCCTGTGAAAAAGACCTCTGTGATGCTTCTACCACTTCATGGACAATACTCTGATTTACAACAGGTTCGTCTTCATCAATGATTGCTACAAATTGACCAAAATTACAACAAGATCTCATTAGTAACACCCTAAGTTCATCACAAGTAACTTTAACAGCTGGCAAGGTACTGGTACATCATGTACTGGTTATCACATGCATTCTAGTAGTTACCTTGAGATGATTCTGCAGCTGCTACTGATTCATCAGCCTGTTGAGACAGCAACTGTAGCACAGCATCTGCATCTAAAGAATCATTGTTGAGAGCTGCATCCTTCTGAGATGCAGCAATTGATGAGATGGAGTCTTGAAATGAGGCAAGTTCTTTTGGAGAAAATGCTTCTCGTCCTAGTTTCCCCATTTGACTTTGTCTGATTGAATCAACAACATTAAATCAAACTGTCAAACTTAAAATTGTCAAAATTAAGGCTGACAGTTGAATGGCAGCCTATAAATGCACACTGTTTTCAACAAACTCCTATAATACACTCTTAAAAACTGTCTGCAACATTGTGGTAAGTGGCAACAAAATTGTCATAAAGCTTGATGCTATAGGATGGAATCACTCTTGTGCAGTTGACCATCTACACCCTAATATCAGTATGCATATTCTCCATACTGTTCTCTATACATTTCCAAAGGTAGTGACATGAAGAAATTGTTTTGCAATCAAGAGTTCCTTCTGTTAGTGATCATTTCTTTTATTCTCGTGACCTTAATGTGTGATTCAGGAATGATTTTGTAAGGAGAAATTAGATGCTAGTCTTTGTTAGGTGTCAAAAGATTATCTACTGGTATAGGATATGGTATAAGACCACAGTAAGAATAAAAAAAAACAACAAAATGAAGGAAAAGTTTACATCCAAATCTGACTTGATCAAGAGTCCTGTGGGCTTTCCAATATATCAATGCATCTCCCAAAATGAAATTATTACATTATTGAAATGTAGCTAGTAAGCTATGCTTACATCAGCACATCTCGTTCATTTATAATTTCTTTGATTCTTTCCTTGAAATTCTTTTCTGTCTCAGTTTCCTGGATAAGGTGTCTCTCTGAAAAGAATTAAAGGTACGCAAAGGTTAAGCAGACACTAACAAATGTTCTGAGCTACTGCTTTAAATTTGCTTTTTTGGTTATGCATTAACTGACAAGTATATTAACATAAATACAAATCATACATTCTCACCATCTGATGGTGGGGCAGTGATGTGAGAAGACTCATTTGCCTCTCTTCTTCGTTGCTGTTCATCTTCCCAAATGGCTGCTAAGCCAGGATTAGAGCCAATGTTGACTGTGAGAACAAAAGTGATATTTGTCTGTTAGGGTGGTGGGGGATACTGTGTTAATCTCCATGAGTAGATAATACCTCCTATCTCCAGCTTGTTAAGGATGTCAGAAGCCAGCATGTCAGCCTCCAATTCACAGAAGCTCAGTCTTTCAATGTTGGACCCCAAAACCAAGTCCCTAGAACAAACATACCAGTACTTAGTAAGTAAATAAAATTATTTTGTGTTTAGAGAAATTGGGATGAGCTAATATGACACAATTTTCTTGTTTTCAACTCTTTGGAAACAGGTTTTGAAGTTGTTGAGTACTACAGTGATGACAAAGGTAATGTCTCCCATAGTTTCATTCTTGCCATCATTGAGCAAGTAGCTATTGACGCAGTTTTTCATTGGAAAAGTAGGGGCTAGATTACAAAGGTGGTTGCAAGAGATGGAAGCAGGGTTGTCATTAGAAATTGCACTAGGTGTGTAATTAGAACTGAGTTGGTGACTAAACTGAACTATGCTTTCATAGCAAGCATGTCACGTAACAAAGTAACTTGCCCCTCTAGGGGTCTTAAGGGGATAGTTCACTGGATAAGTTTGAAAATTGAAACTCTCTAGAACATGATTTCCAGCATTCTGGGGCATATTTGAGTACGTGTAGCTTTTGTGAGCTAGACATTGGTGTTGGAATCAGTTAAAAAATACTTATTTTGTGTCTTTGATCACAGTTTACAATAAAGCAGGCACAAAATGGTCCAACTACCAGCAGACTTCAGCCACCTTCCAACTTTTAATCACAACCCCATAGATGTACAACTGGAAACAGAAATGATAGCGATGATTATTAAAGTATGCCTCACTTGGATACAGTTTCTTCATCCCATACTTGAGTTAGAGGTGAGGAATATATCTGACTTGGTAGAGGTGATGTTACTTTCTTGCTAGATGGAGAAGGAATTGTTTCAGCTTCCCCTTAAAAAAATAAAATAAAATAAACATCAATCTTTCTGCCTAACCAATTTATTTCTAGCCATTGGGGCTTATCAAAATTGAGAGCAAGCTGAAAAAGTCTTGTTTTGTGTTTAACATACATACCTGCTAAGAGCCTGACAGGGGCCCTGAATTTGACACCAGAGGCATGAATCAGGTTCATTCCATAAAGGTTGTAGTCCATAAAAAACTAAATGGAAAATTTTCAGTAACTTTTCACAACACAGCTAACATATAAAGTAACACTAGGCATGTAAAGTATACTCAAGATGCATAATGTCACATTACCTGCAACATATATGGAATATGAGCTTCATGAGGTTGAAATACTTTATTCATGATTGCTCCATTCTGAAGAAGGCTGACAATCCTGTAAATTGAACACAGCATAATCGGCAATACTACTAATGATATGAGACTTGAATTAGCGACTTTGTTAATAACCAGGCTTAGCATATAATAAGACCAGACATTTTACAGTTACATGTGAATAGGAAGAAGAACAGGTTATGCAAAAGACCAAAAAGGCACATCTCCAAATAGAAAGGTTTACAAGTAAATTTGCATTTTGAAAAGACAATTTTTTCTCTAGAGTACTGTTGCTTAGCTTCATGTTAACTGACTTTAAGGTTGTCTTACCGTGTAACCAAGAATGGATTGTATAGGACAATCTTCAAGAAATCTCTCTCACCTTCATGGTAACCATAGTAAGGTCTAAAATGCAAAGATGAATTTTAATTAAATTTTAATGTTGGGATGAGCCCCAGTATAGTGTTTAATGATACTGAATCCCAATCAAGAAACAGAAAATTACAATGACAATCATTCAGCAATCTGCTTTATTCCAAGTGGTACAAAGGGCATCTGACTTCATATTTTAGCCCTTTGCACCCAAACATCAGTATGCATATTCTCCATACTGTTCTCTATACATTTCCTGTAGTGCTGACAAGGAGAATTTGTTCAAAAATCAAGAGCTCCTTTAGTTGGTGATTATTTAATATAAAAATAAAAGTTGTATTAATTATAAAATTATTAAAATTATTAATTATAAAATTATAAAAGTTGCCAAAGTTCCAATATTTCTCTCTTCCTTGGAACTTTGGCAATATCTCTCTCTTCCTTGAAAAGTTGCCAAAGTTCCAAGGAAGACAGAAATATTGGAACTTTGGCAACTTTTAGGACAACTATACATAAGAAGGATGTAACATCATTTCTTGAAGGATGTGGGAGTGAATGTCGCTTATGCTTAGGTTAACTTGACGTATGCATATTTATACATATTCATTTTTAGTGTCCGAGCTCATATATTACATTGTGAATTCAGCACCCTGCTACAAAGTGTTATAGAGTAAAATTGTAACTTATTTTTAAAGTGTAGAACAGTACTTAGTCTGAATAATGTTATTTTCCTGCTTTTAAGATTCATAGTTTTTAATTAGATTTTTTAGTCTTAAAGGTGTCCCCAATTAGTGCCAATAGGCACTAGAACGATTAGGCACTTAAATAAAGGTCATGTATGTATGTATGTATGTATGTATGTATGTATTTATTTTCTTCATTCTTGTGACCTTTTAGTGTAATTCAGCTGTGATATTGAAAGGAGATATCAGATGCAAGTCACTCTTAGGGGTCAAATGGCCAACTGGCTATCTTTATAGGGGTGGCTGCCCCATTTCTCTAAGTTTCATACAGGGATCTTGAGAAAATTCTTCCATACTACAGTAAAAGGAAATTGTATCTATGGGGCCACCTTGTTGCCTTAATTTTAACTCTATTACACACCTTTCAAACTAAAAAAATTGTTGAGTGTAAGGAGTAAAATAAAAAGAATAAAATGAGAATAATTCATATACTTGCCTCACTGTGTAAACTAGTTATAGTTCTCACTAGAGCTGCCCCCGCCCTACAGTACCATTTTCTTTTTTTTTTTTTGAGTTGGGCTTGTTGTTTACAGTTGTGTAGTTATGACCATTTGCGGGAAAAACGTTGATACCTTGCGGCCGTGCAAGCGATCAAATCGAGATTTTTTTTGGTTACGATCAACCGAAAACACCTACATTCTCTCTTCTCCAGTCTTCCTCTATACTAGGACAAATCTCGTGTCAAAGACGCCGATCCTAAAAGTCCTTGCGCGCGTGTCTTTTTACTGGCAGCCCATGACCATTTGCGGGAAAAATGTTGATACCTTGCGGCCGTGCGAGCAATCAAATCGAGATTTTTTCTGGTTATGATCTACCGAAAATACCCACATTCCCTCTTCTCCAGTCAACTATAACCAACTTGGCTCAGAATTTACTAAGACAGGTCTAATGCTAGCATCTCATTAAAAAAGTAGCAACAGGTTATGTTGTTAGGATATTTTAAATCACCAATTTTTTTTCACAACATAGGGTAACAAATCCAAGGCAGGAGAGTGTAAGGCCCACATGACACCTCACCATTAATCAATTAATTTAGCCTTAAACCCCTTAGAATGACTAGCTTCTAATTTCTCCTAACAATATCACCCCTGAATCAAACATTAGGTCATGAGAATAATGAAAATGATCATTAACTAAGGAAGATCCTGATTTTGAAACAAATTCTCCTTGTCAGCATCTTAGGGAATGTGTTTAGAACTGTGTGGAGAAAATACATACTGAGATGCAGAAGGTCGAGCCAAGACTACACACTAGTAATAAATGAAAAGGACACGGCAATCCTGTGTACACTTTTTATACTTACGTTCCTTTCACAATAGTGATTTCATAGACATGCCGACGAGAAGAAGACGCTTTTCCGAGAGCAACCTGTACTGCAAAGTCCACACTAGTTGCAAACTGTTTAATGTACTTGTCTGTCGGCTGTGTTCCATCGTACGGAACGTAAATGTAAGGGAAGATACCGTGGACGTGGAGACATGTTTTTTGACCTCTTGGAGTAGCTCCATAAATACGAATAACTGGAACCTTGGTTTTTACAGTTGTCGAAGTATCCTCGCGAAATTTGGAGTTACAAACATCGAGTTCTGGAACTGGGTCGGCGATGTAGAAATCGCTGTTAACAATTCGCATAGAAAACATTATTACCTACATATCACAGCACGCATGGGCACGACTTGAAATTTTCAAGGCGGAAAATGAATATTATCGCCAAATTTTGTGGAGTGGACAATTTTTTCCGCCATATTGTTTTTATTGTTTTCAACCCAGATTCCTCTCTTTTTCTCCGCTGACTTCAGCGCGGGCACAGCGCATGGACGCGCCAGAAACATGGTTTTGTTTCTCTCTCTTTTTCCAACAATACTTACAAACTCTATCGGAAAGTACTCATATTAGGCTCTCCGTTCTAGTTCTCTTGGGATAAAAACAAAACAAATATATTGGCCGATACTGAACCTAGATCTCGAGGATATCATGCGAAGAAAGCCGAACAAAATACTTTCTTCCCCTTTAAACAGTTATGTTGAAGGTTAATAGAAAGGTCGTTAAAAGACAGATGGCATATCATTCTTGTTTGCTTATTTTGAGAAACCTCCCGTAGATCAAAGGAAGTAACCAGATTATCCTCCGCAAGTGATAGGATTTCCGGATCGATCTTTTTGCGCGCTTTGAAAATTTTCCCCTGGCATCACAGTTCTCTTAGACCTTGAATACTCTCATCTGTTGTTTTTTTCCTCGAGAGGAAGGTCCCCAAAAAAGTTTTAGTTATGGTGGCGCCACCTTGTGGAATAGCCTACCTTTCGAGGTTAGGTGCGCGGAATCCCTCGCGTCGTTTAAAAGCGCAATCAGGAAAGTTCTCTAAGGCACGGCATTCACGGAAAGCAGCTTCTCAATGAAGTGTAATTTATAGTCAAATTTATAGCTGTGAAGTTATAGTTTGATCCTTTTGTAAACAGCTGATGAATTGCCTGTGGTTGAATGAAGTTTATCGATTGATTGATTGATTGATTGAAACTTTATATACCACCAGCTGAACATCCCGGTGACAATTCAAACCATATAAAACAAACAAAATAAATTTAGTTTGTTTTAATAATCTATTTTTGACCGAGGTAACCCACTCAGGAAATATTTACCAGTCTGAATGTTTTAAAAATAGGCAATATAAGAGAAAGCGTGGATTTTTCGTTGTGCAGGAAATATTGAGCTTGTAATAAAACAAGAAGCTTATATATTTCCAGTTTCTATTTTCCATACATATTGGTTTATTTTCCTCTTTCCGAATCATCCCTATCACCTTTTGATTTATTTTTTGATTCTTTTTTTTTTGCATTTTTATTATTATTATTATTATTATATTATTGTTATTTTATTTTATTTTTTATTTGCTTTATTCTTTCTTGTTAGGAGTTTTGCTTACCCTAAAAAAAAAGTCTTTCAAAGGTTTCCTTCTAATTTTAATCAAATTGAGCGATATATAAAGTCAAATGAATTACGCCGGAATAACTCTTAGGCATAACGCTAAAGTCAGAGCATCGAATATGATGCCGGCACAGTGACTAAACTTCTTAAAAATTCCGTTGATGTTACAGTGTAACAGGGAATTACTGTCAACAGTGAGCCTGTTTTTCTTGCTTGTACTTTGGGAATTTGATCCTGTAAAATGTTATGTTCTGAACTTCAATGAGACTTTTATTCTTAGCAATTTTTACATTTTGGTGATAGGAAATGAGGGGGGTGGGAGGTTGAGGGTCTCTCATAAGCTATTATTTTAAATCAATAAATTAAGCATAATGACACATCTTGAGCATTATTCTCGGCAAAATACCATGTTTTCAGGTGACGCTCATAAGCATGCTGCTCCAATTTTCGAGCATAATTTATCTGACCCTAAGTAACCGACACAAACACACACATCTTGTGGTATCGTGATATTCCTGCTGTTTAATCTCCCACTCTGTTTCCTCATAAAATTCCCCGAATCTTATCAGTTTTTTTTTATTTTAAAGCTCTTCACGCCTGTTTTATATTTAGAATTATTGCGGTTATGATCAATTTTGCACTCTGCATTGTTCTGGTGCTTTTTTCCACAACCCTAGTGACCTTGCCCCCATCAAGGGAGCTTTAGGATCAATTAGATCCCTGATTCCGGTATGGCGTGATCTGCGCGGCAATCAGCGCTGTGCATTCCTGTTTGCTGATAAAAGATACTCCTGAATTCCAAATCTTGTCACGTCTAGTCTGGTTCAAATGATTAACCTTTCTGACATAGACGCTGTCGCTAAACATGAAAAAGTCGGCATAGCTTGAATTCTCACGCTATTTCTCAACCGGCGATTTTTACCCAAATCTATCTAATTCATCCACTGAAAACTTGGAACACGTTGTTAAACTCATTAATTTACAGTAATTGATAAAATTAATCCAATTTTGAGTCTAAAAATTCGAGCGGGAACGAACGATGCCCTCTAGGAGTCAAAGTAGTTTGTAGCAAACATGTCAGTTTCGCCGTACCAGAGTTGATTATCAGCATTACTCTGTTTCCTCTTCTCCTTTGTCAAGTTCTTGAACGATCTTTACAGGATCACTTGCGGAATTTTTAGGTAAGAGACGTTCGTGTGGGTTTTAATCCTTTAAATTAGCGTGACATGACCCCTTTTAAAATATCAGTGACGATAAACACGAATCACGCACAATTATTGGCTGTGCGTGTGCGTCCATGTTCAGATCATCACGTTCTGTCGGCAGTAAATGCAAGGTTAATAGAATATGCATAGGTACTTGCTCTAAATGCCACCTGTTATCAATAGAGACAGCACGTTCTTGTTGCGGTTTGATATGTCTTCTTTATTCATGTATCTGGCCTTAAAACTTTCCGGCAAAAAACCCATTCTTTTAGCAAATGTAACCAGTCTCGCCTTTGCCAGGAAGGAAGTTCTTTCACCTTAAATCCCTTAAATCCTACATTCCGTCTGGGGGGTATCGTGGGAAGCGATGAACTTGTAGACAAAGGAGGCTGATGTTTACTTTTAATTATCTTGTTCCTGAGCGCTGATCAATCATCTTAAATTATAATATTGACTGTCTAATTTTCTTCGACCAGTTTGATTCATTCTCTATGAGTGAGGCAAACAGGTCTGAACTTCGGTTTTTTCGAAGTTACCAGCATACCCGCGTCTTCCAAGCGTGTTGTCAATTTGCATGCCATTTTTCCTTCTCTTTCTCTCTTTCTTTCAGCTTTACTTTTAATCCTAAGGGCATATCACTTTAAACGGAAACCACATAGTGCAAGAGAAGACGTTTGGTGATTCAGGGGCTAATTACACTATAAGTGGGCATTTATCAACAAAGAGATAATTGAGAACGCGCGGTTTGAGCTGTAACCCACATTGTTTTCAAACTGCATGCAGTCGTCTATCTAAGATGAGGGCCAGCATTATTTGTCATCTTTATTTCCCTAATTTCATGAAAATGTAGGAAATTTTTTTCGCATATTTCCCTATTTTAAGTAAGTAAAAAATTTCTTCGGCGAGAAGGCTACTTTTAAACAATTTTGCTTCCAAATTGTAACCTGTCAATCCTCTTTTATTCAGGGTAAGCAAAAAGAGGGGCGTTATTTCTCGTCCTGCTAGGAAACCTTGAGCAAAATTTTCTTTTCGTTTCCCATCCATGGTCCTCGCTGTTGACATCTCGTCTACAAAACAGTCACAAACATTCTTTTTTTTTGGAAAGTTGTAAACAAAATTTTACCAGCCATCTAACCTAACGCAACCATTCGAATCTCAAATAGAGGACACTGTTATATCGTTATATCGCTCATTCTGTTGTTTAAAATAGTTCGATATTTATCGTTATATAGCACTGTTGAATATGACTAAGTGAGTGTCAAACGCAGTTTAAAGCTACTGATTGGTTTTACTTGTGGGTAAACAAACTTGTATTTGAGGATGGAAACCGAAATCAGATCTGCCGCTCAAAATGGTCCAATAAGCTTGTTTTTCATTGTTGAAATTCCACAAACATTCATCCAAATCTGTTTTATTAACCGCGCTTTGTTCACTGACACGAGGTCCCCTACCTCAATTAAAGGGTATTTCGACTTATACCGCCGCTTGATCGAGCTATCAAGTCGTATTTCACACCTGTTCCGTGCAATAACCTGTTTATTTTCTTCAGTCTTCTTTTGGCTGGATGACAGAAAAAAAAAAAAAAAACTGTACGTGCTTCGGTGCTCGTCTGCATGGGTAATTTTGAATAATTATCTAACAAAGACGTTCTTTTTCTTCTTAAATAGGAGGCACTTGTGCTAATTTCGCTGAAAACACGTAAAGCTAGTATAACTCAAATCGTTTAGCACTCCGGTAATAGTTGCAAGCAACCAACACTGTCGTGAAGCTTAAAGTATTTTAAATGCAAGCATGCGATCAAATTCTTTCATACCGCTCTATAGCCAATTAATTTGGTGCATCGTACTCTGCAAATGAGATAAATATGAGATAAGATAAACTTTAAGTATGTGGTGATTCTTTTTGCCCTTTTCTAATATAAAAATAGAAAAAAACCGCTAACGGACTTATTCAAATGGATTTAATGAATTTTCAGGACTCAAGCCGAGTTCAGCAACCATTTTAACCGCAGAGGAAACTATAGATTGGACACGGAACAACTACCAACGAGGACCCAGGAATATTGACTGCTAGAGTGCGTCCTTCTGCGTACAACTTAGATCTTACACCCACAAAACGCAAACCAGGAAGTTAATAAATCTTCAAGCTTCATCATGTGCTAGCCGCCTACCCTTTCTGTATACAACTCAATTTCCCCTTCCACTAATGAATCTAATTTAATTGAGGACCCTTCATTTTTTGTCGTAAAATTCTTTACGATAAGAGCGGCAAAAGACACCGCTTTTGTATGGGACTTCAATTTTAATCGAATGTTTGTAACTTAATTGCTAATATTGTGTGAGAAAAAAATCGATTCGTTCGTAGACCTCCCCTTTTTTTTTCCTGAGATGGGCTTTGTAGCCAATTCAGAATTCACCGCGTGGAAATTGCACTAACTGCCTTAGTGGTAGAGAATGAAATTCATCTCTAAGGAAAACTGTGGGTCGTAAAATGTGACATCGAAACAGATGTTGCATGTCAAATTATCAAATGCCTTTGCGACTGGGCCACTGAGAATGTTTCTCTTCTAAAGTAAAATTTACAGCCTTGTTTCCACCCGTGCTGGTCGTGACCTTCACTTTGCGTCA